TATTAGTTTCTCTGTTTATCAAAAAAGTTCCCTATCATTGTTTTTATTGTGCAAGAAATGAAAGTGTTTGCGGAACTTTTACCCGCCCTGAACTTAAGCTGATTTAAACGGGTCTAAAGCGGCGGCAGACATCATCGCCATTTGTGTCTTACATAACGCCGATCGGCGGACGATTAGTGCATTATAAATATCGCATAGTTATGCTATAGTTTGGCCGCTCTTATGATTTAAATGCCGCTTATGCAGACGACATTTCTCTGGCACATTTCCCTCATTGTGCGGACGGACAACAAAAAGCCGTCTAATGAATGCCGCTGCCAAAGTATTTACTTTGAATTGAACCGAGCTAATGATAAGCTTCCTCATTTGTCCGGACATGTAAATTTGCCTACGAATCGGACTTGGAACTGGGTGAAATTCGTTGACCATTTTGAATAGAATATCTTGCTTAGAAAGTTCAACTTTTGCCCGGGCCATAAATTATTTAGTTGTATAACTAAATGCGAGAAATTTGTTGAGCTGGGCTTTTTTTTACCCAGCTTACTTGTGTTTTCAGTTTTTATTTATTTTGTTTTTTTTCTGCAACATGTTTTAGTGGTATGTTTGGAATGGGTGAGGAAAACTGCTGACTTGTCGCCACCTTTATGGGTGGGCCAGTTGCAGATCTGCACTTGGTTGATGTTTTTAATTTTATTTAAACATGTTACTGGGTTCGTTGAACCAACTAACAGTGAAACCCACTGAAGATGACCAAAACAAACACCTTTCTGGGCTGGAACCAGTTTCAAAGTTGCAAATCCGATGACTGGACAAACTTCTCCCTCCGTTTTGCAACTGATAAAGAAAACTTCGCCTTGTGAATTTGTTCACAAAGTAATAAATAAATATGGGTAGTTTGTGACTTTTATCAGTGCATTTCTTTTCATGCATTTCACGGTTCATGTTCGTTGGTGGAGCAGGAAATCCCTGCATGGGCATAAATTTGTGGAATTTATATGCCGGATTCCTATCCCATAACGGATGCCAGATGCCGTATTCTCATTGACCATACACTGCAAATAAACAAATCATTTTATTTGTATACTTGTCGTCAAATTTATTTGTTTATCTTTAAAAAATGATTGAAAAGGGAAAAACCCACAAGGCGGGAATAAAATTTAGCAAAAGCTAAGCGATAACTGCAATGTATTTTAAACTAAAAATAAAAACATTTTTGTTATACCACTTGGAATTTTATATCAAACCAACCCCTATCTTAACTTCCTGTACTCAAGCTATCATATTCAAAGCTTTTAAAATTTCAAAAAAATTACCATAAAACCCCTTGAATTGTTTTTCACTTTTTGCTACCACTTAACCATTCAGAAAGCTTTTAGAAACTATTTTCGTTTGGGTCAAAAGTTCACCAGGCCCAGACACAACAAATCATATGCAATAAGCTAAGCTAAATTTAGTCGCAATAATTCCGTGGCCACAAAATGCAAATCAGGAAGAGTATAGAGTATAGACCACTTGAATGGTTTCCACTTCAAAGCGAATTCTGAAAGAGCCGAGCTAACTTTTCGTGACCCTTTCCACTATTTCTTGTTAACGTCCCAGTATATATAGCAGATATAAATGAAGGCATCTGCCGCCGCATCGCTGCAATTTCAATTGATAAGCGAGCAAAACGAAGGGACACCGACTCAAGTCACATTCAAGACATGCCAGGGCCAATTGCTGTGGCAAAATCAATGAAAGTCAAGCCTTATTTAGATGGGGGAACCGGGTGTTGGGCTGATGGGGGGCCACTGCCTCTTGAGGCCTGGCCAGTGCTTCACTCAAATATGCATAAATCGTCACGTTTTGCCTGACGAGGCGCCTCAAACCGCTAACTTTAAATTGAAACCGGCTGCTGGCAAAGATAGTAATTAGAGATGCTGCAATTTACTAGCCAAAAAAGTAACTTTACACTTTTAACTAAAAACATAGCAATGGGAGAATAATAAATATATTTCCTTAAAAATTTAAAATTGAAATCTTGAATTTCCAAAGTCTGATATACAAAATTAGTTGATCTTTAAGTTTTGTAAATTTAATTTCAATGAAATAAGTTTATAACTAACCACATTGACATGTTAAACATATAAATTTATCTCAATTATTCAGTTACGAAATTATTAGACACATTTTTGGCTAAGGTGTAATCTCGGTTTTAATCCTTGAAAGCATGTTAGCTAAAATAATTAATTTAAGCATTTATTTGGTTATCGGTTGAATATCACATGTTGAAATATGGTAATTTATATAGTAATTGGCTTATATATATTTTGTTAAGTGATTTATATACATATAATTAAAAATGTTGAATTATGATGAAATGCCATAACAGCTTAAGGGGGAAATACAATTAGAAAATTTTTTTTTTCGAAAAAAATTTTTTTGGCTTAATGTACTCCAAATATATCTGGGAGTAAGCCTTTAAAAGCATAAAGCCGTCCGGTACTTATTTTCAGAGTTATACGCAATTTATTGAGGGTGTGTCATATGGCGGACATGCACAAAAGTAAACTTTAAACGCTTCTCCTGAAAAGTCGTGTTTTCAAAGTCGCCGTGCAATGTACAGGTCAGAGATTTTATTTTAATCGAATGCGGTTTTTTGCATTATGTTTGAAATTAAATTCTCCACACCATGAATATAACGGTTTTTCATATTTGTTTGTTATAACATGTTTTTTTTACAATCAAAGTCAAAAGAAAATCGTTATTTTTGAAATTTTTTTTTAACCTAAAATTTTTTAATGGAAAAATAATTTTTCTTAAATATGGTTTAATTCATGGTGTGCGCTGTACCTTTAAGTTTAAAGCCCAGTTGCTTTTTTTTGTTTAAGTCGTGATCCTGGACCTGGAGACTGCACGGCGCAAAGTCCTTCCCTAAAAACACGACTCCACATTATTGATCATAAATGGGCTTAATTACAATATTTTTCAAAAACTTGACTGATTTTTATTGCTCAATAATTACCCAATAACATGCAAAAAGAATCACTAAGATTCATTTAATACTCTACTTGCAATCCACTCCCAAAGATAGCCCTCATTTCAGGCCTTCTAATTGTATTTCCCCCTTAAAATAAAGTGGCTGATGGCTCCCGATCATGGTCACTGCTCTCCGTCGTATGGTGATGAAGATATTGGATCTCTGAGGTCTTCACGCCTTGATGGACCAGTTGCGTTTGATGAAATCGACCACCGCAAATTTGCGTGTCTACTGGTCAAACACCATGCAGATGCATTTTTAAGTTTGGCTTTTCGTTTGGCAAATGCCCACACACCCCTATTAAAACCACAAAGTAAGCACCGAAAATGTTGGCCCAACTTTCTCGGGCTTTTAACTGGCAATTGATTTTGTAATTGGCCGAAAGTTAATGAATTTACCTTTTTTTTGCGTAATACCCATGCACTTGTCGCATAGCCGTAGGTGAAGTTATGGCCTGTGGATTTTTGTATCGTGGCTGAGGTTGTCGCCGGTTTTGCGGTTTTTAATTACGCAAGCGGCGACGTCTGCCAATTTGCATTCAGTGCGTGCCAAGAGGCGAAATGGAGGAGCCGCCAGGAAAAGGCCCGAACCTGAGCGCACAATGGGAAATGCTTTCCCCCGAGCTCGAGCCCAAAAGTGGCTATAGTAAGTGGGCGAGTGCAATGACATGGCACTCAAGCTCTCGCTGGAGAAGAGAGCAGGTGGGGAGGGGAGGTACTTATGTGGGCGTGGCTGGGCACGAAGCACATGCGAATGGAATCAGGGCCAAAGCCAAGGTTTGCCAGAGGCACAAGCTGACAGCCGATATTGGTAGATTGATAGCCTGTCCATATTTAATCGGTTTTTTATAGAACAAAGTCTTAAACGTTGAAAGGTACTTGTAGAAACGACATTTAAAACTAGAACAAAATTACATTTAAATATCCGGAACCTATAACTGATAATACATTTTTTAATAATTTTAAATTTAATCGTTACCTAATTTCAAAAAACTTAATTGATTTGCGAGTTGATAAACCTACGTTAAACTTACATATTCTAATAATCTTTCTCAAAATGTAGAATAAGCAAAAAAAATTCATTCCGGGCAACGACTGATATTAACGTTTTGTTATCTCTAATTTATTCATTATTATTAATAAACATCATTATAAGTAATTAACCAACCCGAAATATATACTTTTTACAATAACCAATCCCAACCTATGACAATCCTTTCCAAATTGTGGCCACTTTTGCGCAGTTAAACCGCAATAAAGCGAAGTTTTAAATGCCTTTTTCCCATGACCTAAATTGACCTGTCTCTTCCTGAAATGAACCAAGCCCAAGAATAAAACAGAACACAAAGCCACACACCTCGAATTTCAAGAAAACAATAAAATAACAGCACATCCGACAGGCGCCTGAAATGGATATGCCGAAACGGAAGTGGCACTTTAACCCTCCGCGGAATGTCATAAAGGGTGGGGTCACCCACCAGTTGGGTCACCCACCTCATAACACAGATATTGTTGTATTCATCATCGCCTTCTTGCAAAATATAAGACGCAAAAGCCAAAAATATCAACAACCGCCAGCGGGGGTTAAAAATGCAAAATGCTAAAATGTTCTAATGTTTAAACGAAGAGAATTTGTTTATGCCGAGTGGCAGACATGGAAAATATCATTACACGAAGGGGGAGAAATGTAGGCATCCGCTTTGTAATGCGGTCAAGGTCTCTTCTGTGTGGGAGAGTGTAAAAAAAAAGAACTGAACTCGCACATCACAAAGTAGCCATAAATTTATGGCCTGCGTGGTTTCGATAAATCTCTCAAAATCCGCCTGCATTCGGGCATCGGGAATGGATAACATTTGGGCATTATTTTTTTGGGTTGTATGCTATTTATAGAGACGCTCTGCTTTTACAAGTGGCACGCATAAATTAGCAAGCAAACATTTGGTAAATACAATCTCATACTTATCTCGATCTCTTCATTTCAGAACAAGCCAATGGTGGTGGAGCCAATCGACTTTGAAGCCTTTATAGCCAAAAATAAAACTGTTATCCAAAATGATCCGCAGAGGGAGCTGCTCATCTATCCCGCTGACGATGTCTCGGTGAGTATGCACAAAAATAGACATTATCAGCATTTTAAAAGAAGAATAGAAAACATAGTATTTAATTGAATGTTAAAAAGCCTGAGACCAATAAATAAATAAATATTAAAATATTTAGATTAGACTTAATTTGTTAGTTTCATATGGAATGTTTGTTGTTTATTGACGAATATTTTTCTATTTTTCTACAGGAGATTGTCATGCCTCGCAAACAGCGAACAAATGCCAAATCGGTGGCAGATAGATTCGATCCTCCCAACGAGGCGATAGTTTGTCCCCTCCATGGTCCTTCTATCATTGGAAATGGCAATGGACACAGTCAAGTGAGTCGACAGGGGAGCATTCAGTCGAATGGAAGCCATCACAATAGCAATGGCAATGGACACACCAGCAGCAGCAGCAACAGCAGTTTGACCAACTCCAATGGTCATGGGCAACTCTCGAGAAAGAGTTCACAGTGCTCCAATGGCTCCTCCAGTCACAAGGATTCCTCGTACGAGTCAGCTCTCTCCTCGATCACTCTACGTTCAAATTTGGCTCAGCCGGAGGAGATTGATGAGTTTGGAGACGATGGACATGGTGAGGATTTGGTGGATGGACATGCTCATGGATCCAGAGCGGAGTGCACCCGATTCACTCGTCAAGCTCTATACACCTACAGAGCCAAAAATCATTTGATTCATTATAAATACAATGCCTACGGCGGAAATTGCCATGATCTTCCCAGGTAAAACGTTATTAAATTCCCTTTTAATCAAGTAAAATCTAATTAATACATTGTATTTAGTATTTCCCCTGCTGAGGAACTATTGGAGGAGGTCTACGAAATCGATGCAGATCAGGATCGAATTGACGAGCAGATGACTCGCTCCCAGGCGGACACCATTACCAAGCAGGGATATCTCCTTAAAGGACCTGATTCAGCCTCAGATCGAATGTTTGCCAATATTGGCAACAAGTCCTTTAAGCGTCGCTATTGCTATCTACGCCAGGAGATTGATGGCACCTATATCTTGGAACTGCACAAGGACGAAAAGCAGGGCGAAGCCAAGGCCACAATAGTCATGGACTTTTGCACCGATGTGGTGCAGGTAAGTTGTTACATATTCTCATATCCAAACAATTAATCAATAGTTATAATGATGTTTTTCTAGAATCCCAAACGTGGTCGCTTTTGCTTTGAACTCCGCATGACAACGGGCCATAAATCCTTTACCCTGGCTGCTGAAAACGAGCAGGACTTTAAGGACTGGCTTAGCAAAATCAACTCGGTATTGGCCCAAAATCGCGCCCAAGAAGAGAAACGAAACGCTTCACTGGAGCGTCAGCCCTCTGTCAACTCGAATCCAAGTCCGCAGCTCCAACCGCCAGCAATGGAACCACAAACCTTTGGCACCCTGAAGGGTTTGGATCAATCACTGCATCCTCAACTGATGAAATATGGAAGGGAAACGGATCATTCGATTGCCTTGGCCAGGAGGGAACAGCGTCGTCGGTTGTTTGCCTGCTATCAATCGCCAGCCAAAAGCAGTGGCACTGATAATGTTGAGCAGTATCGCGAGCACTTTGGCACAAGATTACTGCTCACCTGCCACAATCTACGCTTTCGACTGCAGTGCATCCCGCAGGATGAGGGAGCTCCAGCTGGAGTTGAACAGCAAGTGGAGCCCTATATCACCAGCTTAGCTCTTTACGACGCCAAGGCGAATCGGAAGTTAAGCGAGAACTTTTATTTCAATGTGAACGAGCAGTGGGCGGCTCAGTTGTTACCGAATACGCCAGTTCCTTCGTCTGTTGCTGGATGTGGAGTTCCTAGGAAGTCAGCGGAGGGCGATGAGAGGAGCTCTGCCTCCCAGGCACCTCACTCCTTATTCGATGGAGTCTCCGCGGAGTTGCTACGTGCGAATCGCCAGCAATTCCAGCAGTTGAGACAATGTTTACTTTCAGTCACTGCGCCACATGCAGATATCTACTTGGTATGTAAATATTATTATTACCTCAAGGAAATAATTAAAAGTTTTATCCAACAGGTGGTAAGAGTGGAGAAACTCCTGCAATCTGGAATAGCCCAAGCTGCGGAACCTTATCTAAAAGCCGGCAAGGATCCCAAACTCGGTCAAAAGGTCTACAAAGCGGCAAAGAGTTGCGCCCAGCACATTGGACATTACAGACAGCCATTTGCCTGGGCAGCCAGACCACTGTTCAAGCAATACAGCCATGAACTGGATGTTGATCCCAAGAAGGAGTTCGAATTCAGTCCTATTTACCGCCAGGAATTGCCCAAACTCAAAGATGACGAGCTGTTAAAGCTCTTGGCCGAGTTCCGCAAGCCTGAGAAGCTGAGCAAACTAACCATCATTCCGGGAAGCTTGAAGATGCAAATGCAGTTCATCGATCAAACCACGCCTTGTGGCTTGAGTAAATCCCTGGCTCCCTTGTCCACATTTAGTCCGAATTCCAAGCAGTCGCCCACACTCGAGTTGGCCGAATTCCAGAGTCAAAGTGAACGGGATGCGCATCCTTATACGAGTTTCTGTAATCACCTGTATGTGTATCCACTGAGCTTGCAGTTCGACAGCCAGAAATTATTCTCGAGGGCGAGGAATATCACGGTTGTGGTTGAGCTGAGGGATGGCGATGGAGAGTACAGCAAACCTCTGAAGGTGAGTAGAAATGTGATTGAAAATCAATGATTAAAATACTAAAAATTATACTTGCATAAACTAATATTAATTGTATCCGTTTATAGTGCATCTATGGTCGTCCTGGTCAGGATCTTCTGGTATCCCAGATAGCCTGCCCGGTGCTGCATCACAATGTGACGCCCACTTGGTACGAGGAGATCAAGCTGCGCCTTCCGTTGGGACTCTTTCCGGAACACCACCTCCTGTTCTCCTTCTACCACGTGTCCTGTAATCTCAGCAAGAAGCGGGATGCAAATGCGGCGTTTGAGACCCCCATTGGTTATGCCTGGTTGCCATTGCTGCAGAAGAATCGGATTTGCCTGGAGGAACAGCAGCTGCCGGTGGCTGCCACTTTGCCAGTGGGCTATCTATCCATTCAGCCCTTGGGTTGGGGCAAGGGGGTAAGTTGTAGACGTTGTGTGCCAAGCTAAAGCCATTCATCAACTCATGAAATGTTTTCTTTGTCTCTTACCCGAAATACCTCATATCCATACCGCATTCATACCCTGGCTTGCCAACTAACCTGTGCTCTTTTTCTATGTTTTGTTTCCTCCGCACTGATCTGCATGCTTACTGCACCACCACCAAAAACCACCCACCAAAAATCCTCCCCCTGGCTGCCTACAAACCCTTCCAATTTCTCAGCAGAACTGCGGTCCGGATATCCAGTGGATCGACAATCAGAGGAATCTCTATACGGTGGGATTGCGTTTGGACTCAACGGTTCTCACGGCGGATCAGCATTTGCACAACTTCTTTGGACATTGTGAACGATTGCTGGAGGGTGGAAAAACGGGAGCAGTTCCGGCGGAAACGGAAACGTGCAAGATCCTCAAAGCAGCCCATGCGATTGATATGAAATCGTTGATTAACTATCTACCCACGCTCCTTAATGAGCTGTTCACTCTGTTGGTTCACACTCAGTCGGAGGAAATAGGATTGAATGTAATCCGCCTGATAACAAACATTATCCATTTGATAAGCGACCAAGCCAAGAGACCCGATCTTTTGGCCGCCTACGTGAAGTATGTGTTCCATGCGCCTTACTACAGCCAACAAACTGCTCGACAAAGAACTGTCCACGGAGAACTCTGCAGGCACTTGCCCTACCTTTTAAATCCCACGAATCCGGATTTCTTGATCGTTAACAAATTCATGAGATACTCCTCCATATTCTTCGATCTGATTGTGAAGAGTATGGCGCAGCATTTGCTGGCCACTGGAAGGATTCGAATGTTGCGCAACGAACGGTTTCCCAAGGAGTACGCCGATCGAGTGGAGCAGTTGATGAAAGCACTGATGCAATACATAACTACTCGATTTGAGGACTTGGCTGAGGAAACTCTAATACTGAATCGCTCCTTGGCAAAGTTTGTGCGCCAGTGTCTGAGTTACATGGACAGAGGATTTGTCTTCCGCCTCATTCGCTGTTATATGGCAGAGTTTTCGCCGGGAAATCCCAGGATTCTCCACGAATACAAGTTCAACTTTCTGCAGGAGATCTGCCAGCATGAGCATTATGTGCCACTCAATCTGCCATTTGTGTTGAACCCGAAGAACAGACCTCCTGAGATGATGCAGCACTTCACCCTTTCGGAGCAATTCTGCAGGCAGCACTTCTTGTCGGGATTGCTGCTCCAGGAATTGAAGAGCAGTCTGAATGAAGTGGGTCATGTGAGAAGACACGCTCTGGGAATCTTCAAAGATCTGCTGGCGAAACACGAGTTGGATAACCGATACCAGCAGAGGGGCCAGCTCTCGAGGATTGCCTTACTCTATGTTCCTTGGCTGGGCGTTGTGATGGACAACATCCATCGGATCGATGACTTATCGGAATCTGGAGCTTCTACCCCCAATGGACATGTTTATGCGGATTCCGCTTCCTACACCAAACGCTTGAGTTGTTCTAGTAGCTATGTGTTCAGCAAGGACTCCTCCACTTTTGGCTCCTTGACCTCCACTCCGCGTTCAAAGAATCGCTTGACTGTGCACTGTGATCAACCGAGTCCTTATCGGACCTCGGTTCACATGAAGGAGCACAACTACTTGGCTGCCATTGCAGGTCAACCCATCAGCAATGGCATCTCGAATCTATCACTGAATTCGAATACGGATTCAGGGGTGAGTTACTAGGTTTATCTATTGCATGCAAATCCTTCTAAAAACGTATTATCTTTCAGCATTCTCAGGATACAACCACAATTGGTGCCTACACCAATGGCGACACAGATGTGGCGCTTCGAAATGGACACAATCGCTCGGTGAGCGTTACCCACGCACAGATCCTCTCCCGTTGCGACAAGTTCAGTTCGGTGGAGAGCAAGGACCTGCTCCTCGGTTTCCTGTTCATCATCAAGCACCTCTCACAAGATCAAATGGTCGCCTGGTGGCAGAACTGCAATGAATCCGAAACCCTGCAGTTCCTCTCCATTCTGGATCTCTGCCTGCTGCAATTCCGCTATGTGGGAAAGAAGAGTGTTGTGATCACTCCGGATTCTCGTTCAGGACGCTCGGCCAAGGCCAACACTCTGCCAGCCAGGACACAACCGCCCACAGGAGTGGAAAATGGCAACCAGGAGCAGCAGCCGAATAGTGGAACTCTAAATCAACCCAGGGAAAATCTGTTGGAGGACATGGATTGCTTAGCTAAGAGTCAGTTGGCTCTCTATGAATCCAATTTGGCCACTGAAGTGGGAATGATAATCTTAGATTGTTTGGGCATGTATGTCCTGCAGTTCAGACAACTCCTGGCTGACAGCTTAATCCTGCCCAAGGTGGCTAGAGTTTATCTGAGATTTCTGCAGTTGGGTCAATCGGAGAGGCTCTCGAAACACGTCTTCGCCGCTTTGAGAGCGTTTATAAACAACTACGCCGTGGCCTTGTTCAAAGGAAATGCCATGTTGTGTGGTCAGATGGTTTATGAACTCCTAAAAGCCTGCGATAGTCGCCTGGTAGAGATTCGCCATGAATCCTGTGCCGTTTTGTATCTACTGATGCGCAGTAACTTTGAATTTAGTGGAAGGAAAGCCTTAACTCGAGTTCACTTGCAAGTGATTATCTCTGTATCGCAGATGATTGGCAATGTGATTGGACTGAACAATGCCAGATTCCAGGAGAGTTTGTCCATCATCAACAGCTATGCGAATAGCGACAAGGCGATGAAGGGCACAGGTTTCCCCATGGAGGTGAAGGATCTAACGCGCCGAGTGCGCACTGTACTTATGGCCACTGCCCAAATGCAGGCTCATCATATGGATCCCGAGAGGTTGCTGGAACTGCAGTATTCCCTGGCTAACTCGTATGCCTCTACGCCAGAACTCCGACACACTTGGCTGGTCACAATGGCCAGAAATCACGAACAGAATGGAAATCTCTCGGAGGCAGCCTGCTGCCATCTCCATATTGCTGCTCTGATGTGCGAGTATCTTCGATTGAGAGGAGGTTGCAGTCTCAGTTGGTCATCCACTGCCTTTGGCAAGATCTCTAGAAATATTCCGCTAGACGAGCAGGGTCTTAAACTGGATGCTGGCGCCCAGGACTCGCAGTACACGGAACAAATGCTCCTGGAGCAGCTGAAGCAGTGCGCCGACTTCCTCGACCGCGCTGAAAGATTCGAGTGCCTCGGAGAGCTCTACAAACTCATTCTGCCAATGTACGAAAGGGATCGCAGCTTCGTGGAGCTGGCCCACTGCTACGAACACTTAACTCAGGCCTACAATAAAATTGTGGAGGTGAATCGTTCGGGAAAGCGAATGTTGGGTCGCTTCTACAGAGTTGTATTCTACGGAATGGTGAGGGATGTCGCAGATGATCCTGCCTTTAACTAACTCAGATATTTTCTAGATATACTTTGAAGAAGATCATGCCATAGAGTACGTCTATAAAGAACCCAAGCTAACTTCTCTAAGTGAAATCTCTGAGCGACTGGCTAAACAGTACAAGGATAAGTTTGGAGCGGATGTGGTGAAAATGATCATGGATTCATCACCGGTGAGTGGAGTTTCAACCTAGGGAATACCTTAAAATATTGTTGTTTTTTTTTTGTTGGTATGTTGAGTATTGAGAAACACGTATATTTCAAAGATAAAGCAACAAATCCATGCAATCCATCTGCAAATCACTTGAAGAGATAGTCATTGTAGAGCAAATCGGAATCGCTGTCGCCGCGCATCAGGCTCATGCGCTGTAAAAAAATTAACTAGATGTTATAATATTTAAGAAGTGTTCTAAGCACTATGGGATTACCCGCTTGACTTCTGTTTGGCGCATCATTGAAGCATGGGTGCTCCTTGGGATCATTCGCTGCGGAGTGGCATGGGAATTGGCCATGCCGATCCTACTGGCCACATTATTTTTGCTTCCCTTACAGCTGCAAAAGAAAATATAATCAGATAAAACAATGGTTAAAATGTATCAAAAACATTACATTTTCATTATTGAAAGCCAAGCTGTGAAGTAGCAAAAGTATCTAGTAACTTACATATGATTCGACTGCGGCTTCTGCACAGCGGAGCCTGCTTTTCCCGACTTCACAACACGACCTGCTGAAGGCGCTGACACATTCCCTGCTTGATGGTAAACACATCCCGATTTCGTAGAAGGCAAACGACTTTGCTTGCGAGCCGCAGCGGGCAGACTTGAATCTCCTTGGAGCTTTCGTGGAGCGGTCGATCCAGTCGATCCGTTCGGAAATTGGCCCTCCACCGCCGTGTCCCGCAATCTGTGCATGTTTGAGGGCATGGTTAGTGCGGATTGTCCCGCTGGCCGACCCATAAGCGAGCTCCTATGGAGCGGTGGGACACTCTGCATTCCACTTGGCCCAGCCACCCGAAGCGAACACTTTGCCTTGGCCGATTTGTAAACCCTCGGAAAAGCACTCGGAATACTGGTGGGTATCGAAGATTTGGCCGGCGTGGATCTTGATACCTCCAAATCGAAATTTTCAACTATATTTGTGTCTGCTTTTGACTCAGTTTCATTTAGCTGGTTCACCAGTTGGGTTCCCTCAGAGTCCTCGTACCTGGAATTGTATTGTGTATTATATTTAAATAAGATATTATACTGCGCAGTTTATCCTAATATTGAGAGTTTTATAGCAAGCTATACATTTAGAACAAGAGCTAATTTCTCCTTTTACGATACAACTTGTACACAAATGTTTTCCTCAGATAAATTTACTAATTTACCATGTTATTCCTAAATTTAAACTCTGAAACCCACCTGTAAAGAGTTCCCCTGACATAGTCTGCTGCATTCGAGGACTCGGCACTTGCCCTCGGGGTCGTTTCGCCTCCATTCGACAGCGATTCATCATCTCCAGCATAGGCCTCGGCCTCCATATCGGTTTCCATTGCATCGTCTGATCGAGGAATGCAAACTGTGACACTGGACGATTGCTGGGAGGGTGGAGGAGGACAGGGCTCTGTAGATGTTCCGCTGGAAGCTCGGTCGATGTGGATTTGATCGCGGCTCACAATCAGTCCCAGTTTGGTGCACAACTCCTTGAAGGCCTTGTGGGAAACCAGGTCTTGGTAGCGCGTGGATTCCGTGAAGGTGAAGAAGTTCTCGAAGGCCTTGATGCCCTCGATCTGGCGCTCGATCTCCAGCTCCGTGTAGCTGCGATTGGAGCACAGAGTGCACTTGGGACAGACGGAGCTATCGCCGCCGTACTCGTACTTCTCGCTCAGAAGATCGTTCACCCGACTGAGGAACTGGGCCACCAGGACGCTCTCCGGTCTGCTATTCAGCTTCTCCTGATCACCGACGGCCAACTGAAGACTCTGGCGATTGTGGAAGATGGGAATATTCGGATCGGCCTTTTTCGTGGTGAACGTCATGCTGAGGCCATGACCACCTGGAAGCAGACCCACAGCGATCTCCTCCAGCGGCATCTGTTCATCGCCCAGCTGACTGAGGTACTCCAACAACTGCCTCTGATCACAAAATCCATTTTTCACCTGCTTCACGGCATCGCCAACGATTTCGGGACAGGGCAATGTGGTTGTTGAGGTCGCCTCTGTTTTGGTTTGCGAGCTTCTGAACTCCGATCTTCGATTCGACGGCACAAACTCCACAGCATTCGGATTGAGGGAATACTCCGCAGGACATGGCATTGGAATCTGATGCGGAAACTGGACATATCCCGGGCCCATTGCCAGTGCCGGAAATGCGAAGAACTGCTCCATTGCGGAAACAGACCTGAAACTGTGGATTCTGACTGGATAACCGACGTCCTGACGAACTGTTGGTTTGTGCCCAAAAAAGGGAAAACTATTAACGCGAATTGTATACAAAATTTTGGATGCTACTGCAGTTCAAGTGTACGGACTGTGATTGATGTATAAAAATAACAAACAATTTACTAGGACCCTAGTAAGGCTGTTAAATTGTTCGAACTAAATCAGTTGAGGGTAGGAAGTGGATAAACTTACTGAAATCGAGCTCTGAGATTTGCGGGAGTGACGACTTGATCTCGTTCGATTCGAGTGCAGATCAGATCTATTTCACGATGTGTCTGTTGAGTCGTTGTTTTAATAACATTTGTGTACGATTTATAACTGGAGGGTCTTATAATTGTAGCGATACGCGTGTCCAAATACTTAGTTTTGAATATTTAAATTATAATGTTGACAATCTTTGACAGTATAAATATTTTTCTATAACTATTTTTTACAACAACAATTTACAAATTTTTTATATCCATTTATTTCCAGGTTAAAGTAGACGAATTGGACCCCAAACTGGCCTACATACAGGTAACCCATGTGATTCCTTTCTTCTCAAAGGACGAACTCGACCAGCGGCTAAATGAATTTGAGCAAAATCACGATGTGGACACGTTTATGTATGAAACGCCTTTCACCAAATCGGGAGCAGCCCGTGGCAGCGTTGAAGAGCAGTGGAAACGCAAGACGGTTATAAAAAGTAGGCATTACCTTTTGTGAATCTGAAATCTGGAAATAATTTATTATTTTCCGCAGCTCAATACTCCTTTCCTTACGTTCTAAAACGTATACCCGTAAAATCTCGCGAAATCATCGAACTGAGTCCCATCGAGGTGGCCATCGATGAGATGCAATCCAAGGTTTCAGAGCTGGAGGAGATCATCCTCCCGCCAGCCGACGTGAAGAAATTGCAGCTGCGTCTGCAGGGAAGTGTGGCTGTGACTGTGAACGCTGGTCCTTTAGCCTACGCCCACGCCTTTCTGGATGCCAAGGTGGTCAACAACTTTTCACTGGATCGCGTCGGAGATCTAAAGGATGTCTTCCGGTATGGATTTGGTTTTAAGAATATTTGTTTAACTTAAAACTTAAATATAATTATATAAAAAAAAATTAGGTGTTTAACTTTTAAGAATTTACAGAAGTCGTTTTATTGTTGAAAGGTTAGCAAGAATCCCTACTGATAGTACCGTAAAGTAAATCAAATAGTTAAAGAACATTCAACAACAACTTTTTATTATAATGTTCTAGTAATAAGATCAGTCAAATAAGAAATTTAGGATTTGGTCAATGTTCTCGAATAATTAATAATTTATATTAAATGGTTTCTTTTCCTTGCAGCGACTTCATTGTGGTCTGCCAGAAGGCCCTGTTCCTGAACGAGCGGATCATCAGTGCGGACCAAAAGGAGTACCACCACGTGCTGAAGGAGAACTACGAGAAGCTGTGCCAGGCGCTCAGTGAGTTGCTCGACGACGAGTCCTTCCAGCCACTCGGCGACGATGCCGACAGCATAAATCAGCGCAACAGCATGGCTTTGTTCAATGCGATCAGTGGCGCCTCCCATAACTCAAGTACTGCTTAAGTCCAACAAAATCAAAATCAAAACCAAAAACCATTAAAAACGATATCAAAATTCAGACACTCAGTCACCCACACACGCACAGCTAACCACAGAAACCAAATCGAATATTGAAGTATTCAAATAACACGAGAGTTGGCGTAGAGAACGTAATGCGTTAACGTTAGCGTAACCACGTAACCACAACGTAGTCGTAACCATAGACTCTATTGGTGTTCCTTTGTTTGATGTTGTCGTTGTCGTTGAATTGAATTTGAAATTGAAATTGAAATTGTCTTGCGGCAGGTAAAGCTCGATTTGGGGCTTAACGGTTTGAGTCTCGGCTAACTAACTGTGACTAACCCCAGAAAATCTAAAACTCCAAACCCAAAAACACAAGAATTGGTGGCTATTAATTCGACTTGAAACTAACCGTAAGCGCTTCGTTTCGAAATTTGGAAAACCTTACTAATCGATCTGTGACCTCTCCCAATGCTTTCTCATTTTGTATTAACGTGTTTGTAATTCTCCCTTTTTAGGACCGTATTTTGTTGAGCAAAATACCAGCAACAACACCCACCACCACCACAACCACCACAGTTCCCACATAAACACACAGAACTCCACACACCATTCATAACCGATAACCGAACTATATAAATTCTGTGCTAAACGACCAGTTCCATAAGTTCCAGTTAACCGAAATCACTTGTTAATTTCTATGACTACGCTAAGCGACTAAGTTCTTAAATTCCCTATTGATTGTTGTTAGATTTTTATGTTGAACGATTCGATTGATTTGTATTTCAAATTTACAACCCTCTAATATATTTGTATATTTTTTATAGCATGCGTGAAATCTGACGAAGCACGAAACTAGTTTTTAATTTAGTTTTAAGCTTGTATATTATTATTTTGACTTTATTTTACCGGATTTTTGTAAATCTTTGATTTAATATTTTTGTAAGCGATCGGCCAATGATGCACTCTATGCAACCTGTACCAGTTACTTTACTAGATCAAATCTGCTAACTTTGTGTCTTCTTCTAAACTCGAAATGGCTAAAAAGAACCGTTTGATAATTTAATTATTCCTAAAGGTAAATGAAATTAGTTTTAGTGTTAACAAACTAGGCAAATAAGTTCCCGCGAGCAACAGAACTTACCAAAGTATTCAGATAAAGGAAATACCTATTAAACAGATCTACTGATATATATATTTACATACATGCATTTTCTAGTGAAATCGTATAATGAACTAAATAAAAAGATATACGCATTAAATGTTAAAACGCAAGTCTTTCACTGTTGGGTTCAATTTGTATTTATTAACAATTTTTAAAATTATTTAACAATTTTGTTTATCATGCGCGGATCGACACAGAAATGTTATTCAAATTTTGTTTTTAGAACTTTAGCTGCGAACTAAACCGAACAAACGAATGTTAGGCGCTTTGGAAGCCATCAATGTTGGATTGAACAGTCGGTGAATCAAACAATCAATCAATCAATCAACCAATCAATGTTCCGTTTAAGGCTACATAAATATGTAAATTTTAATCATCGTCTCCCTTTCGAGCTTAGGCTAATTTACGATTACAAGCGGACATTGGGATTCCGGGAGCGGACGAAGTTCAGCAGCTCATCGGAATCCTCGCACACGAATGGCTTGATGTGATGGCAGGCGACGTCGTGCCACTTGATGCCATCGTTATAGAAGTTGTTCAGGATGGACAGGCAGCTCTCGTCGTTGCCCTGGGCAGCCTCCCTGTTGTCCGGCTGCGGCTGTTGGTATCCACCAGTGGCCGACCAATCGCCGGTGTTCCGCTGCGAGGTGGGTCCAATCTTGGCCCCCGATCCCGACCAGAACCATCCGTTCTCGTTGGGGGCTGCAGGTCGGGCCTGTCACAGCCGGCGAAGTTGCACTTCCTTCCCGACGTCCAGATGTACCGCACATTGCCCCTGGCGATCCGCTGCTTCACGAAGTCATTCTCCTGCGGAGTCTCTAGGGAGACGGCATCCATGCAGTGCCGGCGGCAGATGTTCCTCGCGTCCAGCCAGTCCACCTCCAAGCTGCGGGTGGGCGCGTGCTCCCAGCTGAAGAAGTACGAGTGGGAAACGCCTCGGGCGTCCCTGTAGCTGGCATGGCGCACCCGGTTGGCGCAGCTCCGCGGATCGGGAAGAGCCAGGCGACGCTGGGCAAGCGCCACGGTGGCACTGAAAGCCAGCAGCAGCAGTGCTCGCAGCACAGACATATTTGGATAGCTGAAACAGAAAAAAATAAATTAATATTAATTGGGTAAGTCACAACAAGGTAAAGATTTTATTTCAGTTGCTGAAAATTTTAAAATTTTACGATATATAATAAAAAAACTTAAAATACATCTAAAATATAAAAAATATATTGAACAGAAATATTCTGTAGAAGTCTGTGCTAAAAATGTTCTGTAGAAGTCAGTGCTAAATATTCTTATATCTAATACCTGGAGTAAAAATGTAGTTTTTATAGAAATTTCATTAAAAAAACTTTTTCCTCTTCATAACTTCTGTAAACTGAATTAAATAATTAACTCACAATATTAATTTAAAATATATTTATCAAAATTTTACAAATAAATTTTAATGATTAATGGCCCCAATATTGTTAATTCTAACTAAAGCAAAAAATGTTTTTAAGAGTTTTTTTGCTACCCATTTAAGAAGTTATTAAATCCGATTTCAATTCGATTTTTAAGCTTTAAAAGAGGATTCAATGTTACTTACTTATTTTATGAGTACTCAACTACCAAATACACCAGCAGAACTGATCGGATTTCCGACGAATCCAGAGTGGCCTAACCCGCAAAGTTCGGCCTAAAACTGACTCAAAATGCGATTCTGACTAGGCTTGGATTTGTTTTGCCCCACCCAAAGCATTTCCGCTTGGATGAGTCGCTGGGTTTTATGCAAAATCACTGATTGGAAATGCTTTGCATCGATTTTGATCAATTTTGACTGTGTTTTGTGTATGGAATTTGTCGCTTACAATTGACATTTTGCACAATCTAATTCCATTTCGTCTAATTAAGTAGTTTTCATTTGGGAGAGAGGCCTTCAACCTGGATTCTATTTCGTAACGTGAGAACAACTGACTCTTATTTCGCCCAGCAACAGTGGTTTCTCTCAGTGAAGCGATCACTTTACATGTACCTATGCAAATAAGCTTATTGTTTTATACCTGTGCATAAAAACTAAAAATATTGTATGCTAATTTTTTATGGTCTCATTGATGTTTGACTGGTTCTCTTTATGAGCCACTTGGCAGCTAATCAAAATTACATCTTATATAAATTATCTGACTGCAAATGGATCCGGATTTAAATTGGCTGATCTAAGCGAAGGTTTCAATTCATTGGAAATGGCTGAAACGCGTGCTGGATTTTGTCTATCCGCTAAACAAAAAAGGTAATTTTCCTTAACTAACCAAAATAAACTGCAAATTAGCTAAACTAAATTACTGTTGATTTGAAAAGTTCAGACAGTTGACGAGAAAATTGGCTACCAAAAATGTTAATTAAATTTTAATTAAATTAATCTTAAGGTTAGGAAACTTTAAGGCGAATAAAATTTTCTGTGAAGAATAAATCTTAAGGAATTGTTATAAAGAATGCAAAGTAATACCCAAATTTAAAAAGCACTTTTATTAAATGCGTCTCACATTGGCCTATAAAAATTACCAAATCAAAACTGACCTAACCCACAAAACCTGACCTACCCAACGTCAAGACACTTCCACTCCCAAGAGTCTTGAAAATATGTGTTCATTAGTCAGAGGCATTTCCAGTACCCATGGTTTCTAGCTCAAATGAAGCCCAGAGCTGCTCTTGTGCATACCAAACTAATAAATACTCGCCGTTAATGGAGAAAGTTGCCCGAGTTTGAGGCTTCAGTCCCCGGCGATGGTCATGCATTACACATATTGCTGGGTCTCTCGGTCTCTGGCCAATATTCGAAACTCTTCCGCCTGATAACGCTTTTCGGTTTGGTCTTTTGTTTTGGCCACGCGCAATTGCATGTGATTTTTTCCCTTTTTACGGCTTGTGAATTTTGTAATTTGAATTTCCGTTGCCTCATTTGGTCTTCCTATTTGAGGCACTACCAATACGTATGATATACGACAGGTTTCTTGTTCGACTAATTGCCGTGGGTAAGGGCATTGGCAGCTGGTGAAATATTTCCGAACCAATTGTCTTCGCCTCTTTTTTTTCGGGCACTTGCTTCCAAGTAGCTCCCATTTCGTCTCATTTTTTGGCTTTTGATTTTTTTGGTGTCTGACTTTTGGGTTTTGTGTTTTGTTTTCTTTTCTTATGCAATACTTGCTATATTGAACATTTCAATGGAGGCACTTGTAATATAAATTGTGGGAGAAAGGCATTTAATTTTTGCCTTTTCGGCAGTTAAATGACTAATGATGACTTGAGGCTCTTCAGATGGTTATTTTTTTTTTATATAATTCACCTGTGCGGCGTGCAAAAAGCAACCTTCAAAACGTGCTCAATAGCCAAATAAATATTACAAAATAACTACAGCAAAAAAGAAGTCGAAATCTTTGGAAGATGTTTTTCTAAGTACACTATCGTGCACACATCTGTGCAACATTCCGAATCCGAATTGTTAGATAATTAATTCCAAGCCACTTGTGCTGGCTTCGTGGCTGCATCTGCCAAACATTTTTGTTGATTTTTTTCCTATACCCTCCTCCCACCTGCTGTATCCACCACCCCCCAAACATGGCAATTAATCTCCGGCTTATATATTACATTTTACAGCCGACTCCGCTTGGATCGGTGCAACTGGTTTTTACTGGGTTTTTCTTCTTAGATGGCAAACAAATTTTATTTATGTATCACGCTCTTTGAGCATTTTTTGTGGTAGAGTAAATTTGTACAAAAAATTGTCATTAGCTGCTAAGAGCGGAACAGGTGTCTAAATCAGAAGATATTGAGGAATTTTATGGCTTAAATAGTAAATAATATTTTTGTACGTTACGTGAGAAAATGTTTAATTGGATCTATTGGACTTCAGTTAAATAAATGAACACAAAATAAATTAAATAAAATGACTCATTAAAACTTTTAAACCTTAATTCTTTTATCTCAAGTTTAAATTGAAAAAATGGAGTTTAAATTGATATTTTTAAGGGCAGTGATAATTTGCCTTTGTTTTTTTTATAGGTCATCCAAAGCCTAATTTATTATTTTGTAACCCCTTTAACTTAATTTTAACTACCTGCATCTGCTGTTGTCATTTCCTGCTAATTATAAATCGATTGATAAGCAGAAATCATTCGATAACTACCTTCATATACCGCTGCAATTTCCTGTTAATTAGAAATCAATCGATAAGCAGACGTTTCTCCAGAGAAAACATCGAGAAACGTGCACTTGCAGCTTGTTTCTAGAACAGAGCCGAAGACCAAGACGAGTTTCTGCTTTTTAAGCACCACCTCATGACAGTAATTATAAAGAAGACGGATTTGCCAGCTGCACCAGCAATACCCACTTGATGACTTGTTGCAACAACATCCCACCTTTGTGTATCTAGATGGCTAGCTTTTGATGCCGTCGAGGTCTCTTTTTAGAGCTAATTAGAATGTTTTGTGTCGGCTTGCGTTGTTGTTGCGCCACCACCAGTGCCTTCGGTCAACCACTTCGACCCCATTGCGGAGTTACCGCAGAAAAAGGGAGCAGGATGCGGCTGTAGTTATGAAAGTTGCTGGCGGATGCGCCGGTTTAATTGCCTGGTCTCTCGGTATCGGTCTCGGTATTGGTCTCGGTATCGGTCTGGTCTTGGCCAGAGCTGGTCTCTGGTCTTGGCCCAAAAAAAGAAGAAGAGGCCACTGGCGAACAGTAAACAATATGCAGAAAAACTGGACAGACTGTGTAGAAGAAAGTCTGTCAACTGCAGCGACCAGCGAGTTTCAGACCAGCAGACGAACCGACTGGCAGAAGGAGCCTTACTTTTACTGGTGGTCACCAGCACCTGCACCTTACTGGTTTTCTCGGATGAGCAAAACACTGAAATTCCACAGACAAGCAGACAAAGTGCAGCGCTGAAAACAATAACAATGAAGCGAAATGATAGTGAAAATGGTCATGTTTCTTCTTTCGGTTTTTGGTCATCACATAAAATTGTATTTATATGTGCAGACCATATCAATAAATATTGACAGCGCGTCAGTCGGTTTGACTTAGCAGCTGGGAATTGGTGGCGTTTTTTGAGAGCTTCAAGTGGATTCTTCTCAATTGCCTAGGCTCCATCTTCACTTTCATCTTCGAAGCAGGCGCTAATGAGTTGCTCAAATTTCGGCCATGAATCAACAAACCAGTGAAGGGGAGGGAAAACTTAAAAATGAGGTGAGAAAAAATCCCACAGACATTTTAAGATATTGGTGAAGCCTAATACGTCACTGGGGTAAAGTTAGAATTTAAGTAATAAGAACTTTTATCTAAACTTATGATACCAACATTAACTATCAGTTAAGGAATCAATAATTCTGATTGATAAAGAAATATGTTATCTTAAAAAGCAAAACAAATTGTTGTAAGTAAAACTCCCCATTTGCAAGAAAAAAAACTTTCCTTTTAGCAGAATCCATCCGAAAGAGTGACAGGAGAAGCCCAGAGAGATTTTTTTTTTGCAAAGACTTTCCCGCATTCCGCGGAGATAAATTGTTTTGGTTGTCAATTCGAGACGAAATCGTGACTGGTGATTTCTACTGTGGAATTTTCACAGATTGCAGACCAAAAGAGGTGAGCTGCAAGTCCTCCTCCGCAATTGCGATGGGAAACGGCATTGAAATTGTTTAACCATTGACCTGTCAAAGCTGACTTTAAATAGCCATTCAAGTGAGGTCATCTCCAGTTGCAGCTGTAAAAATGACAAAGCCCCTCTTATCAAGTTTCTTTTATTGCCAGTCGTAAAATATTATTGGCGTTGCGGTTTAAGACTTTACGATCCCAAATTTTCTGCAGGAGCAACAGCAGTGGCTTTCAGCTGGCGCAGCCTGACATTTTGGCAATTACTGTCCGAATATTTGCATGCTGCTGGAAAATTAGATTTTCCACTCATTTGCACTGGCAACATATTGCGCAATCTTCTGCTTCAGTGAAGAGTGCTGGTGGGCGGTTGTCAGCCCGAAAAACAGGCCGAAATGAGGCCATAAATAATGAAAAAACAACTCACTCATTGTTGGGTTAACTAACACCGTTTTTCACACTATTTGCCATGTTCTTCAAACTGACAGAATGCGTTGTGACAGAATTAATTGCGGTAGGTCGGAACAGAACTTTAAGAAAATGTGATTTATCATCGTTAGACAGCTAGATGCTTTACAACAAAGAATGTATGGCTTTTAAACGCTAAGGTAAATAAGTTGGAAAACCAATATTGAATAAATTCTTTTGAAATATATTTTTAGAACTCTAAAGTGTTGGTTTTTAACTGTAAAGTGCAGTTGTCTAATTATACGTTTAAATGTGTAAAATCATTACAAAATCCTTTGATTAAATTATATCAACTTTAAGAAGTAACTGCATTTTAGTTCTATATTATATATTCGAGTAAACTTTCGAAAACATCCCTTAACAATTAATTTATTAAAGCAAGCCTGTCAATGTAACACAAATATTTTAAAAAGAGAAATAGATTTAGTTTATCAATTGACTGAACTTTAGACTAAAATCTTTTCTATACATAAAAACTGATACAAAAAAATTCTGTTTATAATTTAGCTTCACTGCATTTTTACACACAAACTTAACCCTCTAATTTATTCCTAAGAACAAACTAAGTAATTCGATGGAAAATCTTAAGTTAAAAATCACAAATCTCCAAGGCATGTAGCACTCTTGTGTAGTCACTTGTCCTTAAAGGATATTATAAGTGATAATCACCTTTTGGTTGAAACGAACGACACAAACGGAAAGCACAGAAATCCAAGTTTAAGATGTTTTTTGTTGTTGGGACAACCGCACGCAACGCTTCACTTTTACCAACTGAACGCAATGACGATCTTGCCACGGTTTATAGCTTGGCCCCAAAAAGCCAAACAAACCAAAACGAGCAAAAACGGTCAGCGGTTCGATGTTCGAACGTGGCTCAAACCGGGCTGGAGGCTTGGCTTAAACGAGTACGACGAGTGGGGAGCAAAAAAAAATGGCTTAAACAGCAGGAGGCTTTTTAGCTGGAGATGAGTTTGGAATGCATTCGATGGCTAATTGAGTTAGTTGCAGCTACGGTTGCCATAAATGTGTCAGTGTGCTACTGGTTTCGACTTTATAACTTGGAGTTTCGAGTGCATCTTGCAGCTTCGAACATGTTGGTGCGGCAAGTTCGCAGCTTGAGTCTTTTGTTTTGCCTTTTTTGCACAAACTAATAAATAAGTGTGAAAAAGGCAAAACTCATTGATAACCGTTACAAGCTTTGTTTAAAGAAATGATTATGCATTTATGTTCGATTTTATTTTAATTGTCCTAAGCTAAGCCGAAAAGCCCTGAGGTAATATTAATTATTTTTTTTTTTTTTTTTTTACATTTATGTAATAATTGAATAGTTTTTGGGAATCTCCAATACAAAGCAAAACGGTGTCAATAAAATCAATAGAGTTAAATTGCTTCCGGCACAATTTGCTCATCATTAGCCAAAAGGTGTTGAAGAAGCGGGCAAAAAGGGCAGCATAAAGATAAACACAAAACACGAGAAAATAAACACAGGCTGAAAAAAAATGTTTAAATTGTTAAAAATGAATTTGAGCTGCTCTTGTAGGCTCGTATCCAAATTGATTGATGCGATTTCTCGATTTACCTAATGAGAGCACAAAACAGAGAAAAATTCATTAATTTTCATTGTGCTCGGCCCAATATTGCTTAATAATATTGGTTGCTATCTTGCTGTGCAACAATCCAATGCTGAAACTGCTCAAGTTCACCCCTACAAGGCGAATCGGCTTCTGATCTGTTCCAAGTGTCCTCTCACGCACCTCGAGCTCATCTTCAAATTGCATTTCGAGCATTCTCGTACATAAAACATGAAAATATCTACCCGACGTGAGGTCGTTCAGTAAATTAAATTTAATTGCATTTTCAACAGTTGCGAAGTGCGGCCAAGTGGCAGCCACCAACTTCAAATCGATTCGGAATCGCTTCATATTTGCCGAGACCCCAGTGCATCTTCTTTGTATACTCTAAGAAAAGGTTGATAAACCAGAAGATTAATTGAATTTCATTAATTTTATAGAGCTTAAAAATGCAGACTTTTGTCAATGAAAAAAGGAAAGTTTTTGAAGAGAAATGCCAATTTAAACATTGGCTCAAAGAGCAACCAAATGTCAACTTTAACACATCATCTGGCCAAGTGAAGTCATAAAACGGTTTGTTTATTTTAGAACATTAAAAGCTATAATATATCAATGGCTACCTGTATTTTTATCGGTTGTTTTAAAATTGTAGGTTATAAAAAAAAAACTAAATAGATTCTGAGTAAATATGCAATATTCAATGGAGTTTTTATTGTGATTACACAATTTTCAAATGTTATATTGTTCTTATCATTTCATTTGAAAAACATAAACATAAAACATAAAACATATTGGGAATATAAATTTCTCCAAAATATTATTCATTAAATTCCTCCCTTTTCATATTGTCGAATTGATTAATTTTTTTAATCAAGGTATATTTTTCCCAGCATCAAAGCTTTCAAACAAATACAGCACTACTTGTTTTAATAAAAGCCGCTAAGAGTATTTCTTGTTGTTTGTACTGACTTTGAACGCATTTGTTTAAGTGATTTATGCACCCGAACATCCGATCTCAAAATCAGTCGAAGCAGCAGATGTGTGAAATCATTAAGTGTGAACAGCGCCAAACTCCGATCGCCATAATGATGGAGCCCCGAACTTGAACTTGAAGAACGCTGACTTGCAAAAGGCCGCCGAACAAAAAACAACCGAAAATACACAATTAAAACAGCATATCCATGGCTGGTGCTGCAATTAGATCTGCACTCCATTCAAAATGGGTTACCCAGAGGCGAGCAACAATTAAAAATGGGTCTCGCTGGCGGAGCAACAATAAAAGTTAAAACTCCGCTTACCATGAAGTTAAGTACGAGAGACCTTAGGCGTCATGGATATAGTCAACACACGATCTGCTGATACCTTATGGCCCTCGATGAAATGCTCACTTTTTGTGTGGGTTTGTTATTTTCCACCGCCTGCAATTCCACTTTCCTTCGACACATTTATCTCATGAAATTGGCAAAGTCCCACGCAGCCTCGCAGTCACACACTCATAATTGGGTCGCTTAATCTATCATTTGACATCTCCGATCCCCACCGCCCTCAGACAACTTTTTAATTACAATTGGGCTCATTGTTTGAGCAGCCATTTTTGACTGTTATTTTTTTTGGTTACGCAACATTCGCATTGCGTGGCGATTGCCAAAGGAAAGTCATCATTAGATTGACATAAAAACTCTTTATTGGGCTGATTACGCGGTTTCTCAGATGTTTTGAACTTACAAAATGCGTTTGTTTTGATTGAGTGAAGTAAAGCCTAAGTAAATGGTTACTTTACAAAAAAATGTATAAACTACTATAATACAAATTAAAGACGGAAATAGCTTGCATTAAAAATATTTTTTCTGTCGATAATTACATTTGAGTACTGTAAGAAACAAATGAAATTCACATAAACATAAGACTAAATAGAAATACATTAAAATATTAATAAGCTATCAATTTTCACATCAATTCTAAATAAAGGATAATACTCTTATTAATGCCGACCTTATTTTGAACAATGATCAAGGCAATCATAAAACTGAGATATTTTCGAGAATGATTAAACATATTTCATTCACGGACAGGTGCAGAGGTTGGAAAAAAATTGGCTTCTGTGTAAAAAGAAGTGCGTCCACAAAGCGTAAACAATGATAAATTACAATAACATAACATAATTAACTTTTGGGCTGAGGCGCTGATGCTAATTAACCTCTTCTCTTCCCTTGGCGAATATAGACGTAGATGGCTTACCGCCTCTGTGTTTATAAATCGTGTATATATATCGTGTATGTATATCTGAGGTTTTACCATAACCCAGTGACTGACTTTGAGTGTTTACCGCATCACGTGGCGTCGCCACCTTGGGTTCTGTAACTCATCTCAAAACTCCATCGCCAAAAACCAACATCTATTTCGACACTCTTTGGTGGCCGAAATGTCAGAGGTTTCCGCGCGATTCGTGAATTTGGTCAACCGACGATTATCCAAAGCATTTTCCGCCATTAACTATTATTTATTCCATCTATCTGTGGTCACAAGTATATTTTTGGTCACTTTTCTGTCAATGTAGGAAAGCCTTCATCGCTTTTGGCCCTGAAATGAATTCGCATCAAATCGCTTGGGATCCAAAATTGTTCAAATAATTGTTTGGTTTATCCAGTTTTGTTCAAGGAAAGGTTTACTTTGCCGTGATTGTTATACTTTAATTCGCACAATATTTACTTTGGCAAGCCAATATGGTCATTGTTTTTATTAAATTGAATAAATAATTGGATTTTGCTTTAAGCTTTTAAGCGGGTGTGGAAGACATACTTGATGGTTAAATGTAAAGCGGATGTGAAAAACATATTTGTCGATTAAATATTGCTGCTTTTTAATATTGAAATATATACTGTTATACCTCTATCTTTAAAATTTATTGAAAAAAAAAATAATTATTTTTCTATTATGTTACAATGAATAATCATTTGACATAGCGGTGAACTTTAATTGTTTGAAAAACTTCTTTTGTCGAAATACATCGGAATTTTGCGAGGGACACATATGTGTTCAGCAGTTCTTAAAATCGTAAACATTTAAACATGTTAAGTTTAAGAGCTAACTTCTAAGTAAGTTTTGCTTACATTGTATTTTTAAGTAGACTTACCCAAATACCAAAGCACTGTATTTTGTTTATTCAGTTTGGGTAATTTCAAAATCAACTTTAAAATATATCTGCATATTTAGTAAAGGTTTACAACAAATTTCATAACTTTTTGCATACCTTTAAGCTAAAATGACATTATTGAAACCCGTGGCTGAAAGTTTAGCTTATAATTCACCCGAATCTTTTCTTTCCTTTTCTCAGCATTAAATTTACTTGCAAATTTTCACTTTCGTATAAAAGTAAGCGTTGCATTGCGTTGCACGTGTGAAAAATAAACAAAAAACTTGGCTGCTGTCTGTGGATGCATTTTATTTAACGTTGGCGCCATTGTCATCCAAATGCAAACTCGAAGACAGAATTTTTGGGGAGACTTAGCCACAGCAGGCGCTCTGTTATTGTTTCGAGTGACGTGTTTGTTGATGTGTTGTTAGCCAAATTGTGCGACAAAAATTCTGAGCCAGCCACATGATTTGTTGCACTGGGGCACGAAGTTGCAGTTGAAAGCCGAAAACAGGGAGCTCATTAAGCCGGGGGGATCCATTATGCAATCTCGTTTGCATTGTTCAGTTTGCCGGCAGCAGATGAAGATGATGGCGGCACTAGTTAGCCCGTCTTGTTTGCATTTGCTTTGGTTTTTTTTCAGCTGTGGTTGCGTTGGCTTTTATCTTGTCTTGCAACTGCTTTCTGCAACAAATATTAACTTTAAGCTGGGTTTTTGTAAGATTTAAATATATCGAGTTGCTGTTACCTTAAACTCAATAAATAAATTAAAGGGCGAGTATAATAAGGAATAATCGAAACAACTTTTACATAACTTATTTTAATTATTCCAATTTGTTATGGATTTAATTTATTTTATTAAAAATGTAATTGGTTTTTGGTAGCACAAGAACTAGTAGGCTTATCCTTTAGCAATATTTTGAAAAGTCAGCTTAAGTGTTTTCCCATCAACCCTTGGTATTTATGGCCTGCATCAATATCCATCCACTTACTCGGTAATTACCAGATCGAATGCAGATTAGGATGCGTGGAATACAATTTCACCAGCCCTTGTTAGTTATCAATTTCTGATGACACTCAAATTAAGCCTGTTGCCATGACTGCCGAACAAATAAGGGCCATTACCATATCTCTTCAGTTTAATCGCCGATAAGCCTGCACTTCGCCAAAGTGCTTCAATCCAAATTACGCGAGGAAACCGAGTTTATTCGTACTCCAGCAATGATTCGTTACGGAGTGGACAATTTTCGCGGGTTTCGCGGCAAATTGCGTTATTGGCTGAGTGCAAGGGATGCCTACGGGTCCATTTCCTTGATAATATCCATAGCTTTTGCTCTTGGGATTACCCCGTATTTGGTGAGAATAAATTCACAGGGTGAAAGTCACTTGAGGCAATCTTGGTATGGATTTGTAAATGCCATTTCACGATGGCTGCTGCTCGCATATTGCTACAGCTATGTACACCTGAGCAACGAGAGTTTGATCGGATATTTCATGAGGAATCATGTTTCCCAAATCAGCACCAGTCTTCACGATGTAGGAGGCATTATAATGGCTATATTCACATTTATCCTACCGCTCTTGCTGCGCAAAAACTTTCTAAAATCTGTGAAAAATATGGTGGAAGCAGATAAACGACTGGAACGTCTTCGATGTCCCGTCAATTTTAACACTGTTGTCGGCCTGGTTGTCCTTGTTTTATCACTGGTTATCACTGTAGATACCATACTATTGACCACCTGCCTTTTTTGCCTTTCGAATATGGATGTGCACGCCTCATGGCAGCTAACTTTTATTCTGGTCTACGAACTCATGGCCATTTCCATCACAATCACAATGTATTGCCTAATGACAAGAACGGTTCAACGACGTTTCGTCTGTCTACATAGGGTAAGTCAAAAAAATATAATAGTCAAAAAATATAATATAAAACCTCCCTTGGAAAAGTCTTAACACCAAAATATTTACTTTGTATATGAATTTTAAACATAAACGTTAATTTAAGCCATTTACTTTATGCATTCCTAAGTAACCTAAACTCATCCCAGAGATACGAGTAGTTTACTCGTTTATTTAATTACATTATACCATTTAAACTAGAAAATCCCCTCCCAATCATCATATCCCACCTGTCAATCAGAGTAATCCCTCGTTCCCTGAACGCCAGGAGCAAACTGAGCGAAGAAATCCGATCAGCTTATGGCAAAAGTAATGGCCAGCAACAATCCCCCTCGATATCCTTCACCTACATTTCCATATCCTCCCATTATTCGAGTGTGACCAGATATGCGTTTACTCAAGTGTCTCTTGATAATGAAGATAATGAATTGCCCGTCACGAAGCAAACACACACGGATATCCACACACAACCACATACACACACACTGGCATTTATCTTTATGGTCTAACAACTGAATTAAATTCAAGGCATCTTCGCTCCCAAGGACACTGTGATGTTGGTTTGGATTGATTTTAAGCATGCTTTTTTTGTCTTGAAAAAAGGCCTCTCAACAAGTATTAATAAATATTAAATACATAAAATACAATAAAAATCCTTTCAGCAGTTCCAACATTATTTACAATTACATTCAATTCAAAGCATACATCTTTATTATTTTCTCATCTACAAAATTCCTTTTTTGTGGCAAAAACAACATGCTGTCATCACTGAGAGCTTGATAGAGTGAGAAAGCGATAACACTTGTTGCCACAGCCTGCCACTTGTTGTTGCGAATCCCAGACAACGTGATTATGAGCTTTCGCCAGCCGGCATTTGTGTTTTATATCCTCTTTTCTCCCTGCCACTCGACTCCTCCTTCGGCCCTTTATTATCCTTCAGCTCACTTCGTTTGCATCCGTCGCTTGGCAGTCGTTGTTTTGCCTTTTGGCCAACCAGTTCGCGTTGTCACTTGCACAGGAACGGTTGTGCGAATCGCTTGGCTTTTGTATTCATTTCCGTTTCCGGTACATAAGTTCGATTTGGTCATTATGTCCGCGCTGCGTCGGGTGCGCAAATACTTTATATCCTCGCAGGTCTACGAGGCACTGCGCCCTTTGTTTTTCCTAACGTTTCTCTACGGACTGACGCCTTTCCACGTGGTCAGGCGGAAAATGGGAGAATCCTACTTGAAGATGTCTTTCTTCGGCATTTTCAACATCTTTATTTACATCTGTTTGTGTGGTTTCTGCTATATATCCTCCTTGCGGCAGGGAGAATCCATTGTGGGTTACTTTTTCCGCACTGAGATCTCAACTATTGGAGATCGCCTGCAGATCTTCAATGGATTGATTGCAGGAGCTGTTATCTATACCTCGGCAATCCTGAAACGCTGCAAGCTGTTGGGAACTTTAACCATCCTTCACAGCCTGGATACGAACTTCTCGAATATTGGAATACGCGTAAAGTACTCGAGGATTTTTCGATACTCCCTGCTGGTTTTGATCTTCAAGCTTTTGATCCTGGGAGTTTATTTCGTGGGAGTTTTCCGGCTGCTCGTCTCACTGGATGTCACTCCATCGTTCTGCGTCTGCATGACGTTTTTCCTGCAACATTCGGTCGTTTCCATTGCGATTTGTTTGTTCTGCGTGATTGCCTTCAGTTTCGAGCGGCGCCTTAGTATCATCAATCAGGTGAGTGGGGGTTATGGTTATCAGTACGCCAAACGAGTACAGGTAAATATTTACCTGCAGCACAGTCAGTTGGAGACAGCGTGTCTGGGATGCGTGACGGTTTTTCCATTGGGGGATTCGCCTCTATTATCGTGTTTATTACTCAAGCACAAATCATGTGTGAAAATTAATTTATGTAAAGCCATGGTTACACACGGGAGTGCCAAAGACTTTAGATTATCGGCCATGATTGCCTTCGACATATTTATTAATTAAGTTTGCTTTTAGAAGGGGGAGAGCAAATAACGTAGCCTAGACTATTTGACCAACAAGTGTGGTCTGCTAGCAACAGGAATTGAATTTCAGTCCGCGAATAATTTCTGCTACCTAACTCAGTTGAAGAATAAATAAGATAAAATGAATTGCATACTTTGAGGCTCCCTGTAAAGCTTCATATTTTAATAAGGTTAGTTATATTGTTATTTGACGCAAGTAGCCAGGACATGTTTGTAATGTTCATGAGAACCAGAGATATAGAAAGAGATCTCAAAATCCCAAAGATTAACGATGTTTGTCGAACACATGCTGAAAGCTACTTCAGACGCCTTGGCTCTCATCCTAACTCCCTGGCGAAGAGGCTAATTAGGAGACCAAGAAGAAGAAGACTTAAAAGGTTCCACCCACATGACCTTCCATTAAGACACAATTAACACACTTGAAGACTGATATAATTAAACTACACACGAATAGATTTAATGTATAATCTGTATACCAACCCTTTGTTATCCCCTATAGTTACAACCTGCTCAAGCTGCCACATAGGTAGCAGTATACCCGTTAATTAATAAATTTACACTTTTTACTTTTTTACTAAAAAAAAAAAAAAAAAAAAAAAAAAGTTATATTGTTGTAGTGAAATTAAAAATTGTAATGTTGAGCTAAAAATACGCTCAGCTGGAATTGTAGCAAAACAAGGAGGTCACTTCGTTTTCTCTTTTTTCTTTGGTATTTTCTACACAACGTTATTCAAATTTGAAAGCTTTCCCAGAACTTTGCTTAGCATAAATTCCCAAACACATCTTCCCATTTACGCCACATTTAAATTAGAGGAAGAACTCATTTAGCACCCGTTGCCAATAAAAAGCACGAGTAATTTGCAATGCCATTTATGATGGCTATAATTCCTACTTTACTAACCAAATCTCATCTGCCAAAGGACACAAATACAAAGCTATTATATTCCTGCGAACAATTGACATAAACTCATTTCTGCGTTTCATTGAAACCATAAAATTAATTTGGCTTACGAAGGGGCCGAATAAAAAGTCTCTGGCCACTCATTGATCTAAAAAGGACACGAAAAATGTCCCCGTAATGTCGGGAAATCGTTGGATTGCCCTGGGGAAATAATTCCCCAGCGAGCAGAGCCATTAATTAAAATGCAGCAACTTAGGCTAATAGGTTAATGGTCGGAACATAAGCGGACAGCAGCTTGTCTAGACCGGTAGTACATATAAAAATGGGAAAATTATTTACTTTTGCGACAACACACCCACTCAGCTACCCAGCTGACGAGTACTGGTAAAATGCAAATCATTTGCGGTCCTGCCGTCAGTCGCCTTTCGGAGCTCAAGCTGAGCGGACATGGACATTGAGAAGGCCACGGACCCGGTGGATCCATCCGCGGATACGCCGGAGATTGAAGTGGGTTCCGGGTGGTGTCATCCCCTTCGTCGTAGGTTTCGGCGATTCTTTACCGCCAAGCAACTCTACGAGTGCCTCCGTCCAGTTTTCCATGTCACCTACGTCCACGGACTGACCTCTTTTTACATCAGTTGCGATAGGAAAACCGGCAACAGGACCATTAAGAAAACAGTTTTTGGCTACATCAACGGCACCATGCATATTGTGTTGTTTGTGTTTGCCTATAGCCTAACGATATATAACAATTGCGAATCGGTGGCCAGCTACTTCTTCCGATCGCGCATCACCTATTTCGGGGACATGATGCAGATTGTGAGTGGATTGATTGGAGTTACTGTCATATATCTCACGGCCTTTGTACCGAATCATCGCTTGGAGCGGTGTCTTCAGAAGTTCCACACCATGGATCTGCAGCTGAAGACTGTGGGAGTGAAGATCATGTACAGCAAGGTGCTGCGGTTTAGCTACATGGTCCTGGCCTCCATGTTCCTGGTCAACGTCCTCTTCACCTGCGGCACCTTTTCGGTTCTGTACTCCTCGCAAGTGGCTCCCACCTTGGCCCTCCACTTCACCTTCCTCATCCAGCACACGGTCATCGCCATCGCCATCGCCCTCTTCTCCTGCTTCACTTATCTGGTGGAGATGCGGCTCGTGATGGTCAACAAGGTAAGGAAAATTAAAGGGAGGTGTTCACATTTGAAAAGAAAATACTAGGAAAACCAGGAATCTGTTAGTAATTTTTGTCGATTTGCAAACCAGCTCAATAACCAATAGGCAAAAATAAAAAGAGTAAATTTTAGATCCAAATTATTGTGTTGCACCAATCTCTAAATTTTTTTTGTTTAATAATTTTGTTATTAGATCCAAATATAAGGGAGACAATTTCTTTAAGTAATTAAAATTGTAAAAATTCAAAATAATGTTTACTAAAATAATATGTTTGGTATAAAGAAACAAATTTTACTGCGAACCAATTAGACTTCCCCACTTAAATTGATAGTTAAAGTAATAACTACAATCTGTAATTGTATTTTTTATTAACGTAAACATATTCATTTGAAAGAGTAAGTAAATTATTTTATTTTTTCTCTTTTTTTTTAAAACAAGAAAACAGGGACTCTTACAATTTGTAGTATCAAGAACAGTAAAACCTGATTATATCGTAAGGCTAATTTTAATTGTTAAACAACTGGAATGATAATCTTGGATACCATAAATTGTACTGTTTACTGCCTCGTGCCATAATTAAAACGCCTCGAAGGACTCCCAACTGCGTCTTTAAAGTGTTTTCAATTCCAGTAAATTAATTCAATTAATGAATTATCCCACACGAATACTGACCGTGAACCCGTCTACTAAAAGAGAGGAACTCCCTCTCTATAATTTTATAAACGCTGGAAGTCCGCGGAAAGTGCCATTAAATGGAAACTTTGTCGGTGTGTGATGGACGGGTTTCCATTACCTGACCTGTCAACGGCGAAAAGTAGACAATACTTAAACGCCATGACGTTCAAGGTGTGGATCATAAATACTTTAAAAACTAATCACTGAAAAAAGTTATCCATGAATGGTATAAAAGCAACTTGCAAGGGCTTTTGAAGTTTTAGTTTCTTTTTCGGCAACAAACTAGTTTTTTTCGAGGTTAAGTTGACGCAGAAAACATTTAAATCGAATTAAATATGACTAGTTTTCTTCGTGGATTATTTAAACCGCAGGATGCCTTTGGAGCAGAGCAAAGTTTACTTTTTTACACCTACCTCCTCGGCTTGACTCCTTTTCGTTTAAAGGGACATGCAGGTGAAAGGCAGTTCCAACTTAGTAAATTGGGTTACCTGAATGCCTTTTTGCAATTAAGTTTCTTTAGCTACTGCTTTTTGGCAGCTCTAATCGAGCAGCAAAGTATTGTGGGCTACTTCTTCAAATCGCAGATATCCCAAGTTGGAGACTCTCTGCAAAAGTTCATCGGAATGACCGGAATGTCAATTCTGTTCCTCTGCAGCAGCATTCGAGTTAGATTGCTGATTCGTATTTGGGATCGTATATCCTCAATAGATTATCGATTCCTTAACTTGGGAGTATGTTTTAATTACTCTGCTATTATGCGATTGAGGCACATGCAAATTTTCCTTATGAATGGCATGCAATTGAGTTACTTAATCAGTTCAGTTTGGATGCTCCTGGGGAATAATGTACGGCCCATTTACACAGCAGCTGTGGCCTTCTATGTTCCTCAAATATTCTTGCTCAGTATTGTGATGCTGTTTGGGGCTACTTTACATCGCCTGTGGCAACATTTTGATGTTCTAAATCAGGTGGGTCACATTATTAAATTATTTTATATTTGAATTATTGTGAATTAAACTGTACAGAATAACCTAAAATATTCTTTCAAAACACAACATAGGTATATAATAATTAAAACTATACTCTTGATAAGAGTTTTTGTTTTAGGCTTAATTATATTTGGGCCTTTTGTTTTGTTTACGCGAGATTAATATTGAAGACTAAATTATAATTAAACTAAGCCGTTTAAAAAAATAGATTTTATTTCGCCACATTTCATGGTCAGTTGTTAGTGGTTTTAGCTCTTCGGATAATTAAAAGTATATCGCTCATATGGATTATTGGCTTTATCCTTCTCCTTAATGGCTTTTCAATTCATTAGCGTTTTAAGATTGTTATCCCACTTTTCGGATTCCATGGCCTCATTGGCTCCACAAAACACTCATACGCCATGTGGCTCTTTAGGCGATTGGTTGGAAAGTCGGGAAATCGTCCTCACGACGTCTACACCTGCTATCGGCTCACAATATTCATGGCCCTCTGGCTCGGAATTGTTCCTTATTACGTGACCACTTCCTTGGAAGGCAGGGGAAAGCTAAGATCTTCGTATATTGGATTCATCAACATCATATTGCGAATGATAGTGTATATCGGAAACTTTGTATATAGTCTCATCGAGCGCAACTCGCTTATGTCCAACTTTTTCCTCACGGATATATCCAATACAATATCTGGAATGCAGAAAGTCAACGGAATGCTCGGAATCTTCTTTATCCTGCTTGTGTCACTAATGAAAAGGGGAGAACTACTGGAAATACTCACCACTTTTCATCGACTTGAGACGGAGGAATTTCCCAAAGTGGGCGTGGCAATGCATCAGATTCCAGCTTCCCGGAAAATGAATCGATTGGTCATGACATTGGTCGGCAGTATGGTGGCCTATATATCCTGCAGTTTCCTGATAATCAGCTTAAAAGATTCGGCCACATTTTCCATTTCTGCGATGATCAGTTATTTTTCACCACATTTTATAGTTTGTGCTGTTAGCTTTCTGGCAGGAACTTTAATGATCAAGCTGCGCATATACTTAAGTGCTCTAAATGAGGTTAAGAAGGACATAAAAAGGCTTAGATTTCTCACTAATATTTACATTTTTTATTCTTCTTAAAGGTCCTGAAGAATCTAGCCCACCAATGGGACACCCGAGCATTGAAGGCCGTGACCCAAAAGCAACGATCTCTCCAGTGTTTGGATTCATTTTCCATGTACACTATAGTAACCAAGGATCCGGCTGAAATCATACATGAATCCATGGAGATACATTTCCTGATTTGCGAGGCAGCTGCCACAGCTAACAAATACTTCACCTACCAACTGCTGACCATTATCTCTATAGCTTTTCTGATTATCGTTTTCGATGCCTATTATGTTCTGGAAACTCTACTGGGAAAATCGAAGCGTGAGAGTAAATTCAAAACGGTGGAGTTCGTGACGTTTTTCTCTTGTCAAATGATCCTGTATCTGATTGCCATAATTTCCATTGTCGAGGGAAGTAATCGAGCAATCAAAAAAAGCGAGAAAACCGGAGGGATAGTGCACTCTCTACTCAACAAAACCAAAAGTGCTGAGGTCAAGGAAAAACTTCAACAGTTTTCCATGCAATTGATGCACCTCAAAATAAACTTTACCGCCGCTGGACTCTTTAACATCGACCGCACCTTGTATTTTACGGTGAGTTGTTACATATTTTATAGTTCTTTTAGCTAATTATTATATCACTTGAACAGATCAGCGGGGCCTTGACCACTTATCTCATCATCTTGCTGCAGTTCACATCCAATTCCCCTAACAATGGCTATGGAAATGGCAGTTCCTGTTGTGAGATGTATAATAATTTAACGAATAGCACGGTTTAGATGTGCTGTTTGTGTTACTAACTTATGAAATGCGCAATGGAGTCCATGGAGCCGGTGAAAGGATATAAAATACGTCCCGCAGAATGTGTATTTTTTGTAAATGTTATTGTTGTTGCTTTTAAAAAGTACTTTATGTCAATGTGAACAAACGATTTAAAATAAATTTATAATCATTTAAAAAAACTGCCTTTTTTATGACACATATTATAAGTGGGACTATTTTAACCTGAGTAAAAGTATACATAGGTATTATCATTACACAATTTTATAAAATGAGAAAATTATAAAACCTAATTAAATGCGTTTTTATTTATTATCAACTTGGAACTTATTGTCCTTAAAACTAAATTTAAATTCAAAACATGTTTTTATGTTTTAACTAAAGAGACCTAGAAGCTTTTACGTAAATATATTTTTAATGTAACATAAATTATATAAAAATACAAATATATTTTATTTCTGTGGCCTAAAAGTATAACAGAATCTTTTTGGGCTATTTGGAAAGTAATTAATTAGCAAGAAATTTGGTCTGTTAAATGGCTTTTGCGTGGTTGGAAAATAGCTGTCGTAAATTGTTTGCCAATTGTAATGAATAGCTGGTGCATAGGCTGTCGAGTTAACAAAAAAATGGCGATGTCACGAATTCCGATGAACTCGTTGAACCTTATTGCAAATGACCTTGACCACCCTGATCCCTGCCCCTCGCTTTAGGTTAATTAAATATTTGCCACTATTGATGTTAGCTTATTACGTGTGCGAAGGTGTGTGACAGCCCTTTAACGATTTTGATATATGATACATCAGTGGTGTCTCCAGTTGACACAAAGGCAATCATCATCATCAGTCGACGAAGACTTCCGTTTGTCAGTCGGCGGAAAATACGCGAATCGAGCGGACGTAATACCCAAGGCGGCATTTTTTATATACCTTTATAATCGAAAGGGTTTCTCAATGGCCTTTAAGTTGTGGGACCGCTTCTCCCAGGCGGACAATGTGTTCCAGGCTCTTCGGCCACTAACGTTTATATCCCTTCTGGGCCTGGCTCCATTTCGATTGAATCTGAATCCCCGGAAGGAGGTGCAAACATCCACGTATTCTTTCATCGCCGGAATAGTGCACTTCTTGTTGTTTGTCCTTTGCTTCGGAATCTCCGTGAAGGAGGGAGAATCCATAATTGGCTACTTCTTCCAAACGAATATCACCAGATTGGGCGATGGAACTCTACGCTTGACTGGCATTTTGGCCATGTCCACAATTTTTGGCTTTGCCATGTTCAAAAGACAAAGACTGGTCAGCATTATCCAGAACAACATTGTGGTGGACGAGATATTTGTGAGACTGGGCATGAAGTTGGACTACCGCAGGATACTTATATCCAGCATTCTCATATCCTTGGGAATGCTGTTGTTCAATGTCATCTACTTGTGTGTGAGCTATAGCTTATTGGTCAGCGCCACCATATCGCCCTCGTTTGTGACTTTCACAACCTTCGCCCTGCCGCACATCAATATCTCGCTGATGGTCTTCAAGTTTCTTTGCACCACGGACTTGGCCAGGAGTCGGTTTAGTATGTTGAACGAAGTGAGTGCCTTGGGACTTTGAATGCACAAAACGTAGATGCAGTTGTGGTTTTCTATAAAAGTAGAAGCATGTGATTAAAGGAAAGCGCATTTGAAGTTGAGAATCCATAGCAAATACAGCTCCTATAGATAAAACATAATGAAAATGAGCTACTTCATAATATGTATCATGTTTATACAATTTACAGTTCTAAAATTTTTGGAAAAAAAATTAAAGATTAAAATTACTATTTATTTATTGCTTCACAGACGAGTGTTTATTCCTAAAAAAAAAGTTTCTAAATAAATGTAATTCATTTTCATTCATTCTATTCCTGAATAACTTTTTTTTTTTAAATTATTTTATCAACTTTGTTTAGATCCTCCAGGACATCCTAGATGCCCACATCGAACAATATACCGCCTTGGAACTTTCCCCCATGCACTCGGTGGTTAATCACGGACGCTATTCCCATCGCCTGAGAAATTTGATAAGCACACCGATGAAGCGGTACAGTGTCACCTCGATAATACGCCTCAATCCGGAGTATGCAATCAAACAGGTGTCCAACATCCACAATCTACTCTGCGACATTTGCCAGACAATCGAGGAGTACTTCACATATCCGCTACTTGGAATCATTGCCATATCCTTTCTATTCATACTTTTCGACGACTTCTACATTTTGGAGGCCATTTTGAATCCTAAGCGATTGGATGTTTTTGAGGCCGATGAGTTTTTTGCCTTTTTCCTAATGCAACTTATCTGGTATATAGTGATTATCGTGTTGATTGTGGAGGCCAGCAGTCGCACCATTTTGCACAGCAGCTATACAGCCGCTATAGTGCACAAGATCCTGAATATCACCGATGATCCGGAGCTCAGGGATCGACTTTTCAGACTGTCCTTGCAGTTATCGCATAGAAAAGTTCTCTTTACAGCCGCAGGACTTTTTCGTTTGGACCGCACGCTAATATTTACTGTGGGTTAATACTTTAATATATTGTTAAATTTAATTAATAACTGTTTTTGAATTATAGATTACTGGCGCTGCTACTTGCTACCTCATTATTCTTATCCAGTTTCGCTTTACGCATCACATGGATGAAACCCTTTCCAATTCAACAAGCCATCCTAATTCAATTCATCTTGGCGATTAACAATATATTTTAATATGTCTCACTTTATTTGCCATTCATTGTGTGAAAATCATTTCAAATCTTAACTTTTTAATTTTTGTCACTGTATCTACATATTAAACAGGTGAATAACCAAGTCTACATTTTTTATTTGGTAAAATGTTATATTTATTTATTATTTATTTTTCTATATATCTATGTATGATGATTTATTTAATATAAATGTAATATTTATGATTTTAAAAGATTTATTTTAAAAGATACAAATTGTTAATTCTAATGCTTCTTTTAATTACGATATGTCTTACGCGTTTAATCTTAAAATGTTTAAATGTTATGCTGCCGTTTCTTTACGTAACGTAATAAAACACGCGACAAATAGCTGATCGCTACGAAACTCACTTAATTGCTGGCTGACAGAAGATGTTTAAATTTCAATTTCCTCTTGCTTTCCGCTTTGGGGAAATTCAAATAAGAATCGGTGACCCAGACCTAATTCGAAGAACAAACACTTGTAGTAGTGCCCCACTTCCACTTGCTCCACTTTTCAGCATTGCAACATAATCTGCAGCGGTGAGTGACCTGTGGCCCAAACTAAACGCTAATCCCTATTCGCACGTCATGTGAAAGGAGGCAAAAGACTAATCCAATAAGGGAGTCAGCCCAAATACGTATTCAGCCAACGAAATCTGATTGTTTTATTGCCTCAGCCGACGCGTGTGGGCTTTTTTTTAGCCATTTAATGGGGAGTTCTGCCCCAATGATATGAGAACTGAAATCCAGTTGAAACTTTGCGCTGATAGCCCGACGATTTACGCAGCTTACAAGTGTATGGGGTTAGTTGTGCATGTTCGCTGTTCACCCGGTGCTAATCATCACGATTAGCCGCATTGATAAGGCTTCGACAATTTGTTATCAATTTCGGTTCTTGCTTTACGATTTGTTTACTTTTCCATACGCCACCCGTTTAATATGCGAAAATCCTCTCAGTATTAGGAAAATCCAAGTGCATAGCGATAACTCTTTGCAGATTGTGATTTTCTGAAGTTTGACCTAGTTTAATTACTTGTGTTGGATTTTGCTGTTTGTAACTTTTATTGTGTTATTGCAAAAAAATCTACCTACACAAAATAAAAAACAATCTTGAATTATAAGAAAGATAACGTACAGAAAATAATTCTTAGACATTAATGTATATTTTTATAAGAAAATATTGAAATAATTCTGAAGAAAAAAATTTTATGATTTTAATTTTTTGTTTGTAAATTTTGTGACACTGTTATTTCCGATTCTTTGTTTTCTTGAATGCACTTTACAGTTTAACAGCCATACTCGCGTTTCAGATTACATATGATTTAATTCAAAATTCAATGGCAAAACTATGGAAAGCCTAAAGCGCAAATTAACCCAAACACCCACTCGCATACACACACGCACACACACTCAAACACATACAAAAAGCCAGAGCTCTTCTCAAGCAAATTTTCATTTCCATGTGCCGCACTTGACTGACATTCATCGGCCGCAGCCGCAGCCGCAGAGTAGGAACAAACGACGACCGCTCCGCTCGCGGTCCGTTCGACGAGAGTCCGCCGCACAGTCGCAGCCAAGCCGCCGGGCACAGCGGTACCACTCAACGGAATTTCCTCGAGACCCGCGTCCACTTTTTCCGGCCTCTGTGTGCAAACTAATCCTCCACGTGCTCAAGCGTTGTGTCCACATCCTTATCGAATTTCAATTTCCTCCCAAGGATATCCGCAGAAAAAACGCTGAAAACGAATACCGTGATTTGTTTCTATTTAACAAATAGAAGTCAAGTGAGTGCCTTCAAAACAAAAAAAAAAAGAAAGAAAGAAAACAAAGGAATTTTGGAAGGGCTGGGAATATCACGTAATTTCTTCGTATTTTCTGCCCGGTTAACACTGTTAGTTTTGATTTGGTTTAATCGGCGGCGGACTTATTAAGATTACAGACCATTAAATGAAATCAACTCGACAAGAGCGAAAAACCGTCGCCAGACATAAATCCATATATATGTACAGTGTCAACCTATATTATACATTCTTATTGTGTTTATATTGGCTTTGTGTGGCCTTTCTGTTTGGGGAAATAAGAGTGCCGGAATGCAAAACAAAGGGATTCCAGCTTCGGCTCCCAGACAACCTGTTGATTATTTGCTTAATATCGAAAATAAGTCAGTTTACAATCCTCAGTGGAAACAGCTGCTTAAAGAAATATTAAGCATACGTACCGGTGGCCAAATTAAGACGCCTTGATTTTATCTTTTTCAAAACAATCCATATCAATGAACTTTAATTTCTTCTCACCGTCATGTCATGTTATTGCATAATGCTTTAAGCATAATCAAATAACTAGAAGTGGTCCATGGGTCGTATACGTAATATCAATAATAAGAATAAATATTTTACGCTTTTAATTAATAAATACATATGTGCCATGAAAAAATGTATTTATACACATATTTGCACTGACAAAAGAGAAAATACTTCATAGAAATATTTTTGTTCTTAATAACATATTTTATAAAAGTAAAAGTACCAGTAAACCAGAAATTTAAACTAACAGAAACTATAGCAATAATCAAATCAGTCAGAAAGTAAATTCCTGAGAGACTATAGATGTTTTAAAATGAATCAGTATAAAAGACTTATTGAAAAAGACTTAATATCTTTTCAAAAACTTGTTGATAAGAACTCCGAATTGTTTCACACAAGTTTGTTTGCGTGCGTTGAAAGGCTTGAATGGCTTTGGAATTTATTACAATTATTAAAGTGTAATTAAAATGTATTTTTTGATGAGTTGTATGCAAAGCAATTCACAACTAAAGAAGTTGCCTATTCATTTTCTGCATACTTGCTAATTTAATAAACAATGTACACAGTAGATTTGTGAATCCTCAATGAAAACAGCTGTTCCCTAGCAAATTACGCATACGACCCGTTTAAATAAAGTTCAAGTTTGTGGAATCTGAATTTGTTAGGCGATAATTGCAAAGGTATTTACTTTGAAGTTTTACATTGTTTTTACAAGCTCTTTCGTCCATTAAGCACTAATTTTATTTTAATTGATGTAAAATTCCAAGGGTCTTAGAATAACTTTTTAGTGAGTCGGTATGGAACAACAATTTTATAACACAGCAAAACTTAAAAGTTTCTTTGACTCATTAAAACAAATTCGCTAATTGAGTTGTGTTTGCCTTTTAAAATACCAAACCTATTTATAACTTCTGAAGCCCATTGGTGACACTTTGCAGTATTCCCAAAACAAAATCTTTATTTATAGTTTTTGGCGTGGTCTATAATCCTCCCGAGTATTTCCGTACTTGAAGGTTGCAAAAATTTAATTACATGGCGATAGCCCTTTATCGAAAAACTAGCCAGAGCGACTGCTAAGTAAATAAATAAATGACGATATACTAAAAGCGGTTTCTTTTTACGAACTGCGTCGAATCTCTGACATGTGGTTTTGTCTCAATGACAGACTTTGTGGTCAAAAGGGGCGGATAAACAATAGGAAAATTTAAGAACGTGTTGACTTGGCCCTCAATAAAATGCTGAATTTAAAGTGTCAGGTTAACCCTTAGGATTTCCGCTTCATAACAAGTGCACTTAAACTACTTACGTGTTTTCACCTATTTAAACAATATGCTCTTCAAAACTTTCTTTTCTTTTCACTTTTTAGGTAGCTAAACTTAGAAAACTTGTAAAGTTTAAAAGTGCAATTACTTCTTTCAATGTTTTACAATGCATTGACATATAGAACTCGATTTTATTTCAGAGTTCAGTGTTCTTTGGGCATTTGCATAGGAAATGAATAAAGCGGCCGGGCATTCATAAAAATGTTAATAAGAGAGAGATCAACAGCCACTCAAAAAGACACGCTTAATTTGATAATAAATGAAATATCTCGGCCAGCAGCAAAGTTTTAACCCTATTAAAATCAATTATTCAAAGTTAAGGTTTCAGGATTCAAGAAACAAATTTTGATGAATTGTGTGCACACAGAAATTCTCGTTTTGCTTGAGTGACACACTTAACAATCGAATTAATACATTCTTTATTCAAAATATTTAGGTTAAAGACATTAGGATTTCCATAATAAATCTCCATTACGTTTGGGATTGTTCTTAAGCTAATTGAATTAAGTTTAAAGTGCGGGATGAACTCTGTGTGATGCACCTGTCCAATGTCCATTCCAATTAAAACTCACTCCGGAATAATTGTGAAGACAATAAAAAGGCGCCGACAAATGCACGACAGCCATACATCATTCAAAAGACATAATCATATCAATTTACCAGACACCAGAACTCATCTGACACGCTCCCGAATAAGCATATTTGCGGGTATATATATAGATTCGTGTTCGTATTCATGTGCAATAACGGAAAGTGTCAAAGACCCAACCATAGCTCACAGCGGGGTCAATTGATAGACTCAATTATGACGATATATCGCCGAGAAGCGGTCCAGACCCATATGTACATGCCCACATACATATATGCAATATTTATGCTGAATTGATATATGGTGGTGGGAACTCTGGACAGATTGGTCGAATAATTGTCAGGGGATGGGTTCTCGATAAGCGATAAGTGCAGTGCAGTTCAATTTCCTCAATTATCTGCGGCTTCCTCATGGGTCTGTTCACCTAGAAGTTCAGAGTCCGCTTATCGGACTACAGTGGAACCCATTGCTGGGGAAGTTTGCCAACCCTGGCAACCACTACTTATCTAATGCGAAAGGGAAATTTAATAGGTTGTTACGTTTTTAAGCATTACGATTTTATTAGATCTAAAAAATGTCACATTAACTACTTATCTTATAACATCTGATCATCTTTTGAACTTGTGTTCGTGTTGCTTGTAATTTAAATTTATAATTATTGCACATGTAGAACTATCATTACTAATTAAAACACATCATCGTAAGTGTCAGGGGAAGCTTTGTAATTATCACCACTGATATGGGATTCGAATACGCTACTGTATATAGTTATATACTATACTCTACATGAGTGTAAACAGCAATTGAAAGTCACGCTTTGCTTAAATTGATTCAATTATATTGATAAAAATAGACAGTATGGGAATTCGTCACTCAATAATTCGCTGCGCTTTTTGCATTCTCTTCATATTCGATTCTTTGTTGGGCCCTTCTTTGTTCGCAATATTTACATACACATATGTGTTTTAATTGAGTGGTAAATAAGACGTGTAAAATTAAATTAACCATTAATTTGTATAAACACTTTCTTGCCTAAAAGTAGGCAACAAGTATTTATGGAAAATAGGTATAACGATTAATCTATTGTTCGAATTAAAAATAAAAATCGAAACATTCAAAATGGTTATATTTTATTCCGTTTTTTATTTATATCTATTAAACAATATAAAAAATTTTTGATCTAACGAAAGGGAGTCAACTTTTGGATTAACAATGAAAATTTAAAGACATCTTATGAACTTAAACCCTTTTAAAGTGCAGCGCACTTATGTTGGCAAACATTTGATTTGGGTATTATTTCTTGCTATTTTATATATTACTCTGCCCATTTGTATATTTGCTTTTTTGTACTATATACTTGCATATCATTACAGGCCATTAGATATCCACACAGAGAGTCGCCCAGCGTGAGCCATGCCAACACAAAGTAGCGCGATGTGGGGCCAGAAAAGCAATCGCAAGTTAATTATCGGCGTTTTCGGCTTCTGCCTGGGACTATTTGGCATATTGTGCGGAATGTTCTGGGTGGACCTGTTCGATTGGATCATGCAGAAGGTAATCCCAGCTGGTGACATGTGTCAGACCGGCCAGCTGCATTCGATTAGCGGCTAAAGCCAATTGAGAGCCAAAGGAAAACAACCGCCTCTCAATTGGCATCGGTCAGAGATCGAGGAAAACTCGTTGAGATTTTCAATTAATTCTAATTGGTTGCTTCTTCGCCAGGAAATGGCTTTGGCCCCCGACACACGTGTCTACGACAACTGGAAGAGTCCTCCAATGGATCTTAGTTTGGACATCTATCTGTTCAACTGGACGAATCCCGAGGACTTCGGCAACCTCTCCACGAAGCCCATTATGGAGCAGGTGGGTCCCTACCGCTTCACCGAGCGACCCGATAAAGTGGACCTCAACTGGCATCCGGAAAATGCCTCCGTGAGCTATCGCCGCCGCAGTTTGTTCTACTTCGATGCGGAAGGCAGCAACGGCAGTCTGGACGATGAAATCAACACCCTGAATGCCGTGGCTCTGGTGGGTATATAAATAATTCAGCCTTCCATTCATAGTTACGTATCCCATTCCCTGTATGTTAGTTGAGAGATAGATTAAAATAAAAATTTAATAGTAAAAAAATTTACATTATAGTTAATGGACAAGCTAACTGTATTTTCTATTTAAAGCGAAGTCAGATCATTATAAACATTAATATATTGCACAATGAAAATGTAAATGAAATGTTGCTAAAGTTTTAAAACATTTAAGAATTTGTAATCCAATTTTCATTTTCATAAAATCGATATCAACAGTAATAAGCAGAGATTTCTGTTAATAAAACGTCCACTCAAACACTGAAATTGTTTAGTTCTATATGCTTCTTACTTTCTTTTCATCAAAACCTCACGAATTAAATAGTAATAGTCTTAATTAAACTGAGTTTCTCATTTTTAAAGAATATGCTTAGGCTAAGTATGCATAAAAATAACGATAAAAGGCAGACTAAGCAACAAACAATTAGATTGTTTCAATAAATATTTTAAAGCGCATTTTACCTAAGATAATAATAATTTCTATTCATCATATTTGTATGTTTCAGTCGGCAGCTGCCACTGCGAAACATTGGCCCTCAGTTAAGCGCACCATTGTGGACGTGGGTCTAACGATGTATGGAGCCGAAATGACAGTCACCAAATCCATCGATGAACTCCTTTTTACCGGATACAGTGATGCCATGATAGACGTGGCCCGAGCAATGCCCATTTTTGGAGATGAGGTGAAGGTGCCTTTTGACAAATTCGGATGGTTTTATACGCGCAATGGAAGCGCCGATCTCACTGGAGTATTTAATGTCTTCACGGGAGCCGATCACCTGTCCAAATTGGGACAAATGCACTCGTGGAACTACCAGGAAAACACTGGATTTTTCGATTCCTATTGCGGAATGACGAATGGATCTGCCGGGGAATTCCAGCCCCAACATCTCAAGCCTGGCGATAGTGTTGGTCTATTTACACCTGATATGTGCAGAACGGTTCCTTTGGATTACGTGGAAACTGTGGATATCGAAGGTCTTAAGGGATATAAGTTTTCTGGTGGACCTCGTTCTGTGGATAATGGTAAGTGGTGACGTCGGTCGGAAATAAAGTTAAATGGATTACCCGGTAAATTAGTGTTAAAATGAAACTATTTACCATATTACAATTTTTACTACTCTGAAGAAAGATTTTTGTGGCTTACCATAACTTCATTCGTCTAAGCAAAGCTTGTTTTACAATCTAACTTTCAATACAAAGGTTAAGATAAATATAATTACAATTCTTAAAACACTATTTCTAACAACTTAAACTTTTTAGAAATTGGTTAATAACAAATAGTAATATATATTATTTTTTCAGGCACCCTGTACCCCGAAAACCTTTGTTTTTGTGGCGGTGAATGTGTTCCTTCCGGAGTGATGAACATCAGCTCCTGCCGCTTTGGATCTCCGGTCTTTATGTCCTATCCGCACTTCTTCAACGGCGATAGTTACTTTGTGAATCAGGTGGAGGGCTTAAGCCCCAATCAGGCGGATCACGAGTTCTATATGGTTGTGGAACCCAGTACTGGAATTCCCCTAGAAGTGGCCGCCCGATTCCAGGTCAACATGCTGGTGGAGCCCATCCAAGGCATCCAGCTCTACACTGGAATACCCAAGGTGTTCTTTCCACTCATTTGGTTTGAGCAAAAAGTAAGAATCACTCCGGAAATGGCGGATCAACTGAAGGTGCTTCCGATTGTTCTGCTTTCCGGACACATCTTCGCCGGAGTTTGCCTGGCGATCGGAATAATACTCCTGTGCTGGGGTCCGGTTCAGAACTTGGTATCTTCGTGTCGAAATCGTAGATACGATCTGAAGACCCAAACGAAAACCAATGGTCAGTACAAGAGTCGCTCGCAATTCTCCAGTGCCGAGGAACTCAAGTCGAAGGCCTCCACTTTGGTCTGCGAGAAGAGTGTCAAAGGATCTCCGGACAGTTCTCCGCTCCTCGAAAAAGTCCGAAAGCCAACGATCATTAAATCGCAGACGGGGGAGAGTGTGGCCACCGCATCCACAGCCATCAGCGACAATAAACAGGATTAAACGAGCGCATCACTTCCTCGCCATCTAGATAGTTAAGCCGTCCTAGTGCTTTAGTCGTAGCTCGTAGTTTAGTGACACTCTAAAATACCCAACTAAAAGTTTTAACCATTCCCGTGCCTATGCCAAAGATTAGATAGCCACCGAGGTCGAACCGTTTGGCGATCTTCGCGTATCTAACGAATACTCTTTTTACATTCCCTAGTTTTTAGATACTTTTGTATTTGAACGTTTTCGAGACCGAAAGTGTGTGTGTCAAATAAAATTTTTATAAAATTTAGAAACAGCATTTTTATTAAAAATTAAGGTTTCAGATTTTTACAGAACATTTTTACCAAAAGGTTTATTTATAGATTTTGCATTTTTGAATTTTATATTCAATAAATAATATATATTCATTAGAAAATACGAATGTTTGAAGTTTTTACAACATATATTCATCTTTATTACTTGAATAACAATTGTACAAAATATTTAGTATATATGGTTTCAGGTTTAATGCTTACAAGTCGCTAAACAAAATTATTGCTTCAATCATGATCTTTCCAATAAATGTGTATATTTTTCTGAGCCTTAAATTTTAAGGGCAAAGGTACTAAGACTTAACGTACGACAATATTTGCAATATCACAAATGACCCAACTTATGTGACTAAAATACAAATCAAAAGGGTAATTGAGGATCTGGGGATTTCTTGTACTTTTACTTCTTCATTTTGTAGCCCTCAGTATATCCATAGCTGTCAGCCACTAGAAAAAAATAGAAATTAATTAGCTGCTTGAATTATGGTAAGAAGTTTATCATATCTTACGTTCATAATCTTTGGAATAGCACTCAAAGAATTCTCCCAGGAGTTTGCCGGGTGGCAATTCCCAAGTGGCAGATCCACCGTATTTCGGTGGCAAGGCACTGGCCTCAATGTGAGAGATCAGGGACTTGTAGTCCTTGCCATGGAAGAAGATCTAGAAAATATAATTTGTTAGTAAATAAATATTGGAACTTCAATATTTTTATGCCAAGAACTCACCCTCTTGCGCAGCTTTTCGCGAATGAATGGCTTGAATATGGCGAATAGCATATTGAATATATATGAATTATTCACAATGTGAACGGCTTTTAAACGCATGCAGATGCATTCTTGAATATAATCCAGCAACATGGCGGCAAACGATGGTGTAAATTGCGTAATGTGGCTAAGTGGCAGACCTATAAAATTTAAAAATCAATTAAAACCTTCGTACAATCGCATTTAATCTCTAGTATTAATTACCCTCCATATCGATGATAACAACTGCTCCACAAATTTGTGAATAGGGCTCGACCATTGAACCCAAAACTGTCAGTTGAATGCCACGGAACAAATCCACCAAGGGCACTTGCGAAGGTTTCCATTTTTCTGGAACAAATTAATAATCAGATTAAAGCCAGTTCAAATTAAATTAATTAAGTCAAACTTACTGCCTGCTTCCAACACTAAAAGACGACGACCATGCTGATCCCTTTGGGGCAGCAAATTTAGAATATTTGCCTCGAAAACATTTCGCAACTTGCTGGGAATAATGTTCTCACAAGCAGCTCCGTATTTCAGTTTCATATGGTAAAAGTTCTTGAGCTAAAAATGTAAGAGAAAAGATTACAATTAGGAAAAGAAATGAGTAAAAATTCTCAAAGCAAATATGTCTATGTATACAAAGTTTCAAATTGGCAATAAAAAAGTTTACGAGCCATTTTAACGAAGATTTGTAGTTTAAACAGTAATAAAAACTGTAATCGTAGTCACTTGTAATTCTAAAACATTTTCATCAATTTTATTTCAACTCTTAAAATATTATTAAAAATATTATCTGAAAATATTACACTTTAGTTAATCGATTAAAACATGCAAATTAAGGAGATAAACTTTAACGAGTAATAGAAAAATATTTCATCGTAAAATTTCACAATAAAAAACATATTCTTTATCATTTTCACAGAAGTTTACGTTTAGTTTATGATTGAGCTATATTTATAAGAGCACTTACCCTTTTCAAAGCACTATCCGGATAGTAATGTGTTGGACGCAGGAACATCATCATGTACTCATCATCCAGCGGCAGGTTCAGAAACTTTTCATCTGTTAAAGTTATGAAACAATTTAGAACTGGCATAAATAACTTTAAATTAAAGCGAACTCACTTTGAATCAGTTCCCTGAGCTGCTTGATGGCCTCCTCCTTGATGCCGGGCAACTCCCTCAGTTCGTCCTGAGCTTTTTTCAAAGCCCATTCCGGAGCGGGATCCTTCTCCATTCGAATCCGAGCGGTTCCCAAATCGATGTAGGGCAACTGGTGCTCATCGTAGCTAATGCACTCCGCCTTTCCCATTCTGTCGATGTGATGTGATGTGATCTCAGTTGTGGGTCTTTGAGTCTTTGGATCCGTGATCTGCCGCTGGTTGTTCACCGGTTCGAACTGCGAACGAGAATGAAATTGTTTTAGTCTCGGCTCAAACATTTTGAGTGGTTTGGCAACCGTTTCCTCAAAGCGATTGGCACAACTGGGTTACTTCCGCAGCTTGGCCAAAGCCAAAAGCGGAATCCAAATCAAAAGCAAAAGCAAAAGCGGCAACAGTTCAATGCCTCGCTCCAATGGAAACTGCTAAATATATACGCCTCAAATGTTTATGTATGACTCAAAGCTGATCTTCATTAGCAAAAGTAGCCGAAAAATCGCCACAACGAAAGAAGAGGCCGCCGGTCAAACGAGTGAACATATACTATAGATATCGAAAAATGTACACCGACAGACAATAGCGCCCAAAACTGGTCGCAAAACGTGCGTCTGATGGCCAAAATCGGTGGATACCCTAACCGCAAAGGTTGTAGAAATTCGGTCAGGGCGTTTGCTGCACTTCTCGGATAATTTATCAAATTTAATAAAGCTAGTCAAACCTTAACGGAATTTAAATATGTATGTTTATGTTAAAGTTTTAAAATATTTATGAAAACATATTATCATAAGCATAACATCCTAGAATGATTATTATGAAGTATAATTACTTAGGACTTGCAGATTGACTGAACAAAATACAATTACAGGATAAATATAAAGATAGCCACTCTACAAAATTTTAATGACCTTTTTCATGTTTTAAGAACTGTAAGAAATAATCAAATAAATAGTACGATTTTTTTTTAGGATTTATTAGAGAATTCCAAACAAAACTAAATTTTACATCTTTTTAGGGTCTTCGATCTTTAGTATGTTAAAGAATACTATCTCCCTCCCCATTATTTTCAGTTGTTGTTTTTGTCTAAGCCAACTAGTACGTGTCCCGCCGGTTTGGCTCGCAGACGACTTGGCAACACCTTGGCTAGCAAAACAGAATCGAAAAAATATCTGTCTCGATGACGTAGCACTTGTGAGCCGGCGGTGATCTATGCCCTGTCATGAAGGACTTGACAATGGCACAAAAAAGTCGAACTCGCTGTTGGTTAATTCGTTAAAGAACCCGGTCGAGTGAGTCGCATAGTAGTGCAAATCGGCGTTGGCTATTAAATCTGATTTACTGCTGCTCTTATGATTCGAAGCAATAAGTGAGTTTTTTTGATATTGACTTTTTTTGTGCGGTCAACGCGAATGAAGGTAAAAGTCAAGGCCAAGAGCAGAGATTGTTTAATACGTTCGATTGAAGCCGAAAACTCGAAAAACTTGGACTCGCAATAGGTGTTTGTCATTCTGGCAGCGAGTCGTTGCCTTATGATTTTCGTTGGTTTCCAGAAATTTCGTCAATGAATCTTGTGTAAATTATGCCTTTATTTACTTTGGGCCTTTTGTGTTTGGCTTGGTCTTTGGCGTGGAGTTCAACAAACCATAAAGTTATGCGCATACTAATTTGTTGGTCAATCTTTTCTTCGGGTGTTGTAAAACCCGATTAAATCTGGAAAATGAGTGACGGAAAATGAGTGACAGAAAATTTGGGTGTGACATGCGAAATAATAAAATAAGTCAGCTAAGCGTGATCTTAATTTCAAGACATTTCCATGCCAAAAGTTTCGTGAGAAGTGTAATTGCCAATTAACCGCACGCAAAATGTCAAGTAAATTGCTCTAAAAAAAGGGTTAATATCGTGTTATAATGCGTCATAAAAATACCTCACCAACTTGTGCAATTTACCTAAATCTCAACTCCATTTAAGTTAATTTGTTTATCAGAGTCAAAATAAATAATAAACTTAGTGAATGCAAAGTTCTGTTTAGCAATTGTCACCTCACCTAAAAAATAGCGAATGGGTGCTAATTTTTGCAAACTGATCTTTGATCAACGACTTAATATTATTCTGTTTCTGTTTTCGCCTTATTCTATTTAGGGAAACTTCGTTTAAAATTTATTCTCTTTGGGTAATTCCGTGATGCAACGACTCATAGTGATTCAGCATTTTTGAATCCGGTTTTATCGTTTCTACATTTTTTATTTAGGTTAAGCAGGGTGTGAGATAATTGAAGTTTTTCGATTTAAATGAACTCGGAGCTTTTGAATCAGCCTTAAAAAGTGTATTTATTTATTCTGAATGTGATCCTTGTTATAAAGGAAAAAACGAATATGTATAAAATATTGCATATGCTCAGAAATTTAAATCAGGAAATCCATTAATAAAATTAAACCTTAAACGGATCCTGAAATAAACCAGTTCAGACAAGACTTTTAAAAGCATCCTTGAAAATAATTGTTAAGGGAAAATTTTAAAGGTTTCGTTTCAGCTTTTGTGTTCTGAGCTGTAAAACATGTTTTGCCAGATAAAATATTTTCTTTATGAAGGTCGTGTTGCTAGTAAAAGTGGATCCTGCGCTTTATTGAAGCTTATAGATTTTAAATTGAACAAAATATTACCCGCAGTATCTATAAACTTAAGTTTAACATTTCCCTTTATATAAATAAATTGCACAAAATATATATATTTCTTTTTAGTTGATGGCTTTCTGTTAATTAAAATTTATCACAGACTCACTGAAGTACTAAAATGGGATTTTTCCCTTTAACGAAAAGGAATTTTGCAATCTCCCGTTTTAATTAAAATCATGAAGTCAACTACTACCCAACCCGTTTTGAGCAAGCTTCAATTGTGAACCTTGTTTATTTTTTATGACCCGAAACAATGTACTACGAACCCAACCTCCCGGATGTGCAATTGGGCAGAATCTGGTGTTTCAATGGAGAAAAACTTACAACTGTTGATCAAAGTCTGATGCAAGCAAATAATTACATGCTTGCACCGAGAGATACCTTTTTAATGGCTGGAATTGTGGTCTCCAACTTTACCTTCCTCAATAATTTTATACCACAATGGACTTTTTCACTCTATCTTGTTGAACTTTGTGGCCTTTCACTAGCCCCGATGAAATTGAACTGAGGCGTTTCACTTGCCGGCGGATATTGTTGCCCCAAGAAACGAAGCGAAGTTAAATATAATGCCAGTAGTCGGTCGGTTAAGTAAGCTGATAAATGGTATCGCCAAACACAAGGAAACAGAACAATGAAACATTCAAATTCAGCTTGAAAGTCTAATCGGGTTATGTCCACTCATATAAACGAGCGATTATTGTATATAGATTAGCACACAACAGAAATAATCCCAAAAACAAATTGCTGTCTAATCAATTCCAACTTAACTGCCGTTCAGTTAAGTACAAAAAAAAAAAACACTAAACAAAGCGCCTTTAATGTAAAAAAAATGCACTCAACTCTCATAGCCAACATGATATGCATTAATAAACAAGTCGTATGAAAAATGATCAAAAACATCAACTAGCTAGCTATTAAATGCAAATTATAGTCTTTTCTCTTTATACATTTGCAGCGACTGTTTTCCCGCCACACATGACTAAGCAATTGTTGAGCTTTATCCAAAAAGAGATAAAAATAGAAGCCCGAAGCTCAAATACCCTTGGGAATTTATCTAAGATCTCTTTTAGTTTCGTGACAGAATCAACGAGTTAGGTAAATTGTTTTAATATAATATGAAAGTGGAAACATTTATAATAACATGTATTGTATTATCTTTTAAATCTTTTTAATTTTTTTTACGTGGGTTTTTTCGTCTAGCCATAAACATAGTTAAATTTTCGACACAAAAATATTGCAAGATATAATCTAGGTAATTATATTGTATGTATATACAAACAACTATACTACAGTAAATTGATTAAGTGTATGTAGACTAGACAGACACAAGATTAATCAATCAAACTCTTTTCTTTAATAAAGAGTTCGTTGAAAGGGGAAAATTAAGCTATAAAATAAATGATAAATCTAATTTAATGATTGCTGCCTGTTTTAATATTAGCTTTGTCTCGCCCCTGATTTGTAAATGGGTCAATCCAGTTTATGTATACCGTGTATTTAGTACAATGCCAATTCTGATCAAAAGTCTAATGCATATCTCGTGCCTTGCATATCAATCTACTTGGCGAACTGGGCGATTCTCAGTTTTTTTGTTGAAAACGATATAAACAGATGCAATTAGACGATTATAATCCAATCAATGAAAGTGATTAAAAAATGATATGTTAATTGGGCTCAATTTAGCTAAAGCTCAAGTAAATCCAGAATTTCCTGTTCAAGTTGATAAGTGACTTTTGATCTTATAAGAACCATTTTTTTCTAGTTACAGACAGGCATATGGAAATTGTGGTTCTTGGGTTAATTTTTTTCTTGAATATAATTTAATATTGAGTAGTTTTTATAAAAAAGTTCACAATAAAGTCTTTATGGTAATAATTTAAGCAGTGGCGGATCCAGGATTTTGATAAGGGGGGTCCAAAATTTTTTAAGGGGGGGGAATTTTAACGCAGTTATTTAAAGAAACTCTTTATTAACTATTATGACAAAGAAAAATTTACTAATCTACAAAAACAAAACAACTTTTCATATAATAATAAAAAAACGAGGCACTTCTGACGTCGAAGCTTATTTCGTGCAAGCACTTTAATGTTCAATAACTTAACTATTTCTTAATTTTTAAACTTTTTTTTAGCTCCTATCCGTTTGTTAAGGGCTTTAAATTAATTTCATAAAGATTTCAACATTTTTCTAGTTGTTTTAACGGGTATTTTAGCCCACTTCTGCAGTAAAGAAATCTTCAGGTCATTTTCGTTGGAAAATCCACTTTTTCGAATCTCCAAGTCCAAAATTTTCAACAATTGTTCAATAAAATTTTAGTCTGGAGACTGTGTTGGCGTATTAATCCCATTGGGACAGTTCTAGATCAAGAAAGGGCTACAAAAAAAGAGCCGGGTTGCACCAAACCAAATATTCAACGATCTCGAGAAGCGCTGTTTTGTCCGGAAAACTAAGGAACACCTCAAGCTATCGGTTTCAAAAATTGCTGCGCAGATTGAGATCGAAATTGTCAATAAATTTCACCCAAATACAGTTCGGAACATATTGCACCACCATAACTTTAATGATCAAGTTGCATGAAAAAATATATTCAAAAGTATACAAATATGATGCCTTGGGTCAAGTTCGCCATGGTGTTAGAAATTCGGCCGATTTATTTCTGGAACGACGAAATTTAAGCAGACGAATCAATTTTTAATTATTTTGGGTTGGTTGGAAGACGCTAAGTGAGGAGATGTTCCAATACGAAGATGGAAACTAAAAAGTTAAAAGCAATGCATTGGCACGGCGGTGACCATGTCATGGTTTGGGCTTATATGGCTGCATCCGGGGCCGGGAACTAAGTTTTTATTGCCGGTATCATGAATGTTAATATATATTTAACAAATTACAAAGAAAGTTTGGTGAAAAGTGCCAATAACTTGGCTAAATGGAATCGATTTAGATTCAACCAAGAATATGACCCAAAGCCTATTGCTAGAAATATATGTTTTGGTTGATCTAAAACTGTCCCAACGGGTTTTGGCGGTGGTACCCGTTACCACAGCAACTCCAGAACGATCATTTTCGACTTTGAGGAGAATGAAAGATTATCTGAGAAACACGATGGGTCAAGAGCGTCTCAATGGTCTTGCATCTTTGAACATTCATCATCGCATAACTTTGACTGAAGACGAAATTCTCAGAAAGTTTTTTGAAAAACCTCGGAAATTTAAGAGTGACTAGAACCGTTTGTGGATCATATATAATATTTTTTCTTGATTTATTATTCGAAAATAAATTAAAATTTGTGTAAAACATTCAAAAAATTACGAATTTTTATTAATAACTTTGTGTTTCAACTGCACCAACATGCCCAATAAAAGCATAAAATTTGAAAGTATATGATCCCATGGGGGGGTCCGGACCCGAAAACCCCCCCGTGGATCCGCCACTGAATTTAAGTGAGGCTAGTAATGGTATTCGAAATGCAATTCGTGTTTGCATTTAATTATTGTTAATAATGGTTTTAGTGAATAACTATTGCATATATTACAAAAAACATAAACTTAATTTTTGCTATTAAATCAAAATGATTATATATTAACATTTAAGGTATGCTTGTAATTGTTTCCTGATTTTATTTTTTTGGAAAACATTAAATTGATTGCATTGCACCTTTGGCTTTTCGAGCGAGTAAAAAACACTTCAATTCATTTGAATAGTAAATTAAAGTGATTAGATATTAAAGTTTTAAGTATGCTACTAACTATTGCATAATATTATTTATTGGAAACCATGATCTAGGGCAACAACAAACAGATTGCATTGCATTTTTAGCATTGCAAGCCAGCACCTGAATTTCTTGGCTCACCCACTGAACCGGCTCGTCAAAAGATAAATAAATAGCCAAGTGGTATCATTCTGAGGAGCAGGAATAGCCGGTTTCGATTTCTTTCACAATGCCAAAATCAACCGACTCTCCGATCGTACGAGTTGCGGCTATAAAAATTCGCCTTCAGTTCCAAGTACGAAGCCGACTTCTGTATTCAGTTATACTATACATATGTAAATTTTCAGATTCAATAACGGCTCTTTGTATATTTTCGCAAGTCTCTTGTATCTTGTATCCTTCACTTGACAAAATGTTAACAATTTGAGTAAATTTCATGCCCACACAGACGATTGGCCGAAAGATGTTTAACTGGTTTCGAGTTCACTTATTTTTTTGGTGACTATTCGTGCCCCGATGTTCGCTGAACGGCGACCACAAGGTCGCCTAAAGTATATGGATATAGAATAATGCAAAGTATATATTGGATAAATAGGCAGAAATAAGCTACATAAATATCACACACATAATCAGTAAGTTAAATTGGGGTAAAGCAAGCATGGTTTCGGTGTCATTAGAGCAAATGCTTTCATTGCCCAGTGGATCGGCCGATTGGCGCCTGAAATATTTATGAACTGCGACCATCGATCCCGTGAATCAACAAAAATTAATGCTAGTGGAAAGGGGACAGAAGAAGTCCACAAATGATGGGTGCGAGTGGAGCGGCAGTATGATGCGTCCATTTGCATTTCAATTGTGTTACATTTGCATGCATTATGAAGGTGACAGTAGAAACTCAAAAAGAGGGAAAGGACCAATTTTCGGAAGCCATCACTGTGTTGGCGATTTAATCTTGTTAAACCATGCGAGTATAATAATATATCTTCAAAAAAGTGAAAATAATTAATTGGCTCAACACTTAATAATAAGTACTAGGCTGCAAATAATAATTAAATAGTTAAAATAATTATCAAAAGCCTAAGAAAGTGAAAATCAATAAATTTCCTAACCTTTAATTATAAGTGCTTCGCTGCAACTAAGAATTAACTAATAAATAATAACTATCAAAAGGCTAAAAAAAAAGTGAAAATCAATAAATGAACTAACTGTTAATCATAAGTGCTTCGCTGCAAATAATAATTAAATATAATTAAATAATTACCAATTATCAAAAGCCCAAAAAAGTGAAAATCAATAAATGTCCTAACCTTTAATTAAAGGTGCTTCGCGCAATTAAGAATGAACTAATTAATAATCAGTAATAAAAGACAAATCCTACGATATTCTTTTTAATTTTTTTATCTCTTTTAGCGCTTTTTTTTAATTTTTTTTAACAACAACATATACGGACTTAAAAATCCGTAAGCTGGAAACCTGGAAACCTCCGTAAAACTGGAACTAAACCAATTATAAACAGTAATGAAAAGGGCTTGTCCAAATTAAAATGCCAACTTGTTTACAGCTTAAACTAATTCTTTGGAAATGGTCTGATAATCAGATTTTCTGATTTGAAAAGGCTTTTTAAATTTCATTGATGCAAATTGCAAATGTAGCAGTAATTAAACCGTTCCAAACTATTTAACGCGCTTCATTAAGTTGTACCTTTACACCAACTTCACACAATTAAAATTGTTTCGGATTACCACACAGAAACTCCGTCTTACATTTAAGCTGTAACCAAATGCCTTACACAAAATGAGACACTAACAATTTTGTGCCATTATTTTGGCTCATTCAAAAGCACTCGACTTGCCACAACATAACACCTCATAAAATAACTTGACACCGTACATTTTCACACACTCAAATGGTGTAATGCACCAGCCGCCCGCTCATCTGCCTTAGGCAACTTCCACTTTATTTAACAGCAGAGATATTATCGGCTACCGAAGATCAAAGTGGCAAACTAGTGTGAGCCACCGAGATTATGAATGGTAATACTCGGGGGGATATTCATGGGGATTGGGGGTATGGGGTTTTGGGGTACTCGAAATCGAAGCGCACGCGCTGACGAAATGCAGGCAACGTCAGCGGGCAAAGTGGTAATTGTTTTTATGGCCAAAAGCGAGAGAGTCGTAAGTTTCTTGTGGCAGGCAGTCTGGCAGGCAGGCAGGCGGGTAAGTCAGGTGGAGTCAGAAAGTGTGTCAACGTAGCCGCGCATGCGCATTGCCCAAAGGCAAAAATAAAAATCAAATCTACCAAAAAACAATGCCCAAAATGTGCTTTCTATGAAGCATAATGTTAGCGCAACTTACCGCAAAAGTACACACAAAATTATACGCCTCGAACAGCACAGAGATATTTATTATTTTGTTTTTTTTGGTTTTTTGGCAAAGGTAAACTAAGAGATTTCACGTTTCACTCTAGACAAACTTTTGCAATTGGCCAAAAAAGGCAGCGGAAGGGGTCGGGTAGTTGGAGTGGGGGGTGTTTCGATTTTTTTGATTTTTCGGACAGGACGCGAAAATGCTGGTGCGATTCGAAGCGGAAGTTTAGCAGAAATGCGCGAACGTCCAAATGGCAACGCGGCCAAAACAACTCTGAGTTTTAAAACCGCTCTCGGGCTCTTGTTATTAATTAACTGGCCAACTCAAGCTTGACAAAATAAAACAGCAGAGCAAACGTTAAACAATTTGGAGAGCAGAATTAAAGCTCTCTCTGTAGGTATTTTCCAGCACTACCAAGAGCTTTGTTCAAAACCCCCGAAACACATTTCAAGTTAAAAGCTTTAAGCTCCTTAAGAAGGAAACCCACAATTGTTCTACAAAAAGCTAAGGAATTTTATAATAAAGGCAAAACTTATTTGTATATCTTTAATCTTTATTTACTTAGTTAGTCTTTAAAGTTAATTTTAAGGTAATATGTTGCTATAAACAGAACTATTAGGTTCTCTTGGAAAATCGAAATATTTAAAAAGCTCATGTATTTTATTAGTATAAACTTATTATTAATCTACCTATCTCTAGCTATTAAAGTTTTGTTATCATTGCCGTCTTATCACTACTCGTTTATTATACCAAATTGTATTAGCTTTAATTTGAAAAAGTGAAATACAAATCGGTAGTTCGACGTGGAAAGTGACTGAGTGAGGACGACAAAAGTGATAGAGATTTATTATTTTATAAAACTTAAAATGTCTACGGAAGAAGAAAAAAGTACCTTCGACGTAAAAGCACAGACTGAGGATGAAAATTTACTGAAAATTCTTTTAAGACGTTTCGATTTGTTCAATATATTTAATGAACTAAAAGGTAAGTTTAAGTGTTTCCATTTTTAGTCGGCATCTTTCAAGTTTTCAATTTTTTTAAGATCATGGCATAACCTACAGATCATTGAAGTACATTTCTGATGTGGATATCAACCAAGCTATTTCAAATATCGGTTACAGAGCAGAGTTAAGACACAAATTGACGCAATGGCAAAATTATCTGGTAAGATATCTCGGCCTTCTTTCATTTTTAATCTGTTAACAAGTTTTAGTTATTTATCTTTAATATTAAAAACATACTATAACGAATAAATACAAAATTTACAGAAAAGTGCTGAGGGTATTCATAAACCATTTGAACAAGTCAATATTCAACCAAATCTGCCATTTTTAAATTCATTTACACTAAATTTGAATTCCGTAAGTTCGAAAATATTAAAAATTTTATTATGCTATGGTTATTTTTGATGTTCTTATAATGTTCTTTTTAATTTAGATTATACAAGAATTTGATATATTGCATCCGAATAAAACATCCATTCCAAAAGAAGACTGGGAAGCTTTTAACTGTTATTTTCAAAGAAATTGGCCAACATTTATCAAGAAAAATGCATGGGATATTGGTAAGGTTGTATAAAATATTTACATCTCAAATAATATTTATCTTTTAAAATTTAGAACTCGGGGTGATTTCTTTTTTTCTAAATGATGTAACAAGTCCTGGGCTCTATGACTTTATACCCATTTTGCACGATCTTAAGGGGCACAACTAGTGTGAAGTTTTAAAAAAATCAAAAAATTTTTTTTTTCATATTTCGGTGGATTACACCTTTAAAAATAACATATTAAAATTTAAAATCGATATCTCAAATAGTTTTTGAGTTATAGCAATTTTAAGAGCAGCCGCTCTCATAGCAGTGCAAGCGATCATTTTATCTTTAAACGCGTTTTTCTCGAAACAGCATTTTCCGAATTTGCTGCAGTGATAACTCAAAAACTAATGATCCGATCACTACCAAATTTTTTTTTACATGTTCTTTATATAGTTCTACGTACCATGAACTATCGGTTTTTTGATCCGATCAAAAATCGAATTTTGGCAGGCCAAAAACGACCGAAATTTTGGTTAAAATTCGATATTTTTTTTTAAAACGCTGCCATTTTGTCATTGTTTGATATTTTTTTTTTATCGTAGTTCATGGTATGAAAAATATTATCTAGTTTCACGAGAATTTTTCATTTTTTGATTTCGTCCACGGAGAGGGCCGGAATCACTGCAGCAGTTGAGGCACTTTTTTTTTAGCGCCGTTGGAGATCGACTATAACTTAAAAAATATTTAACTTTTTTCTTTAAAAATTTCACTATACATTCTTAAAACATGTATAAATATATTCTGAAAATTTGAAAAGAATTGATCAAGTAGTTTTTTTTATAAAAATTCCCAAACATCACCATTTTTTTAGGCCGTCACACTAGTTGTGCCCCTTAATAACTATGTGCTTGAGATTAATGTGCTTATTTGGAATAATTATGGTGACAGGAACTGTCGACGGCCTTTTGTGATACTTGAGGGCAACTCAGATAATGTAAAATCAGTGTATTTCTACTTTAATAACAAGGTTCAGAAAATGAAATCATTGAAAGAAGCAATAGAAATTTGTTTTAAAACATTCATTGTTTTAAACATTCGATATCCAAAACGTGCACAGTCTTCCTGGGAATTTTTACAAAAATATTGCTTTGATATAAACAGAGCTTACGATACTATGGATATAGAAAAGTATAATGAATATTGTAATCGTTTGTTAAACAAATAAATATAACTTTTCAGCTTATGAACTATGTATATTTAATTTTCAATGGAATTTCAATCTATACTTTAGGTATATTATTGATTTTGTCTGATCATAATCAATTAAGTTTAAATTAATTTACATTTGCCTTTTCTTTTTCATAATATTTGTAATCCTATGTTTAAAAATTAGTAAACATGTTTTAAATTTTTTACAGCACTGGCTGGTCACTTAAAGCTCAACTTTAAAACCAAAGAACTCAACCCCTTAGAAACTTTAAAAAGCTCGTCGTTGTTAGCTTTGTATTGTTGATAAAGAAACAATAAACCTGTTTTAATCGGCCTATATCAAATCGTGTTAATCTATCAATTAACCAAGGCAGAACCACTGGGGGGCGCACTTTAATCACGCTTCAGTAATTCCAATTATTTTTACCACCGCTTTTGTGTGCTTTACATTTTGCTGATAGCAGCACTCCAAACTGGAATACTCGACTTTCTTTAGCCAATTTTGAAGGCCACCGGGTGAAGTTCATCGCATTTGTTCTTGGCCAACCTTCTCCATTTGGCAATGCTTGCAGTTTTCTTTTTAACCTAAACATTGAGTTCGTTATCATTTCTTGGTCGTGGAGCTGATAAATTAAACACTTTTCGACATATGAGTTATCTAAATTATGGAAGTATGTGGGAAAAAACGAGGACTGCAATAAAGATAATAACTCAAATAACTTGTTGATTAATTACTTAATGTTGTTACATAAAGTGGGCAACAATATACAAAAATTATATAATTTAGTTACTGTTTAATTTTAAATTTACAAGATAATTACTTTTACGTAAAAATATTTAGTTACCAATTACGTATACGCAATGTGTACGCAAAATAATTAGGTATCTTATTAAAAGTATATGAAAGGTTAACAACATTTTAAACTTTTAAATTATAAACAAAATTATTTCAAACATGTTATCGACATTCATTAGCAAAAGTTAAAACTCTGTTTCAATAGCTTAATAGTTTTTTAGTACTTAGTTTCTAACAAAACATAAAAACCCTTAAGTTATGTATAAGCTTTTAACAAAGTGTACAAATTTAAATAGCCATAAAAGCCTCCTCAAATTATATACCTAAAAAGAATCAGTTTTGACTGTAACTGACCTCACCTGACAGCTATAAAAGTATAATCTATGATAGTTCTCTCAGCCTTGTCTATAGTCCACACATAAAGTTTTCGGGAATTCATGAATCGCAAAAAAACCAAGACATGTGCTACTTTTTTAGTACTTTTTCCTCATTACCGAAAACAGCTTAGGGATTATTCATTCATGGTTTTTCCAGGCCAATATTTACTGAAATACTTTAGTATTGGCTTACAGATGACACATATTTATGGACTTTAGCTGCATATTGTAGCTCTTAGTACTTCCGACGTCAGCGATTACTGGAGTATCAAAGTCGAGCTGGGGAAATCAGTTGGACACAGGGGTAACCTTCGTACCATTCGGTACGGGTTGGATTTTGGAAGACATCGTTCAATCGTATGCTCTATTAATTCTGCTCTTTGTGCAGGTGTTCCTCAAGTAATTAAATATATTATTTTACAGTTACTCATATTTCAAAGTACATGATTTTCTCTAGATGTTTAAAGTTCATGTTAAATAATGACGGTTAAGTTCAGTTCTGCATTTTTGCATTTTTAAAAACAAATCGTCTTATCGCTGACGATATGGTAAATATAAAAAAAAAATGTTTCTCAGCTGGGGATTTTCATCTTATCAACGGAAGCAATGAAATCTAAACATGAAGTATTAAAGGCAGTTGCGATTAGTTTTAAAGAGGCTTCATGTGTATTTAGCCATTGGTATTGGCATTAACCGGCTAAAATTTCTTTAGCACATGTTTTCTATACTTTTTTCGATAAGATAGCTAATGCTATACATATCCACTACACATGTAGGTGTTCACTTTATAATAATTTCATAATAATTCTAGTAGATTTGAAACATTTACAAAATTCGCAGGCCTGTTTATAGCCGTAATAAATATTTAAGCCGAATTTATACATTAAGTGATTATTTAAACCATTCTTCTGCAAATTGTACCTTAATAAAAAAGATTTATTACAAAGACTAAAAGATTAACAAATATTTGCCAAAGTTTTTTTTCTAAGTATTTTTAAATTTTATAAAACATTTAAACGTATTTTCTATGTTTTCTATGCCTCTGTCTTTAAGCACTCGGGATAAATTTTTGAAATTAATCCTTTGAATGTTTTTTTGGGGTAAATAAAACTCAAATTGAACCTGCACACTCCAATCTTTTAAACGCATTCAATGATCAACAACAATTACAAAACAGAAGCTCGATAAAGCAGCTGATGCAGCACCAATGGCATTATCAATAACAAGCAGAATAAATGAATTTATAAGCTAAACAACTTAGTAACAAAAAAGTATAAACAATAACAACAATAAGTGAAATACTTAAGCAAAATCGAAAACAAAGAAACAACAGCAAAAAAACTAGCGGGTTGACGACTACGTTGAGGCTTCGACAACAAATCGTATCAAGAGTGCAGACTTTGCCCTATGACTACACTTTAAGGCAGTTGTATAAAACAGTAGTTCTCAGTTGAAGATACAGTGTTCTTGAGAGTAATCTGTAATTTAAAATAAAGGAATTAAGTAAACCTATAAAATTGTTTACCCTCTGACTTACTTAAATATTCCATCTAATTAAAATATAAAAGTATTTAAGTATTTTAAAAACCATATACTATTAAAGAAAATTTTAAGAAAAAGAACAATCTGAAATAATAATATCATAATAATGAAATAAATATATATAATTATAAATATAAAATAAATATTTATTTATTTTAATTTTCTTAATATTAGCTTTAATCATTTAGCTTATTGAGTGCCCACTGTAAATAAATAAGAACACGTATAAGTCGATATTAGCCAAGCGGCAAAAAATGGTTTTGTGTTTGGGAAATGAATTCCAAAACAAAGAACCGATCACGTACCAATAATAACAATATGAAATGCTGCAACAAAAGCGAGTAACAATGATAACGGGTCGCGATTCACGATCCACGATCCCCGATCCGATTTAATGCCCCGAAAGGTGTGAAAAGCCGAAGATCCCCCAACAACCCCCCCAATGCTCATTTACCAACCCACCCATCATTGAATCCGAAAACAAAAACAATTCTTTTCAGTAAATCAAATTGAAGAAGAAGAGAACTACCGACGCCGGCAGCGCTGCCACTGATAAGGATTATTAGTTGTGATTAGAATTCGTCGATGTTTGTTGTTGACTCCTCGCTTTCCAGTAGAACACTAGAAACATTCGATAATAGCCCTAAAGGCAGAATATTTTTGGGAGCTGTTATCAGTCAAGAATTCCATGTTGGACTTTAGCCAAAAGTAGTTGACCTACCCTGTAAGAAATAGTTATTATGTGGGTTGTTAAATTTGGTTTAAATTTGGAGTAGAAGGTAAATTATATCAACTTCATATACAAAGCTGATAAGTGATGCATAAAATATTACAAAATTTCAGTGCTGTAAATAATAAGTGTAAAAAAAATTATTTGACCATTAAAAAAATTGTAAAAATATAATTTATCTCCAATACTGTTCAGCTCTCAAAAAATTCAAAAAATTATTCAGAAATATTCCAACCGATTTCCTTAAAAATCTAGAAGCTTTTTCGAAGATAGTGCCATTTTTACAGGGTACTTTTACGCAGTAACTTTAGTCATTATCGTAATGCTTTATGAGTATTATTAGGGGCTTCATAAACAGTGCGCTGTTTCCGCTGTCAATAGGCTGGTTCACCACTTTTTCGCTGTTAATTGATATTTATATATTTTTTTGACAAATTTGTCGTTTTTATTACGTGCCTCAGACGCTAAAGATGTAGCAAGGGTAAGTTCGAGGTAAAGGTAATTTAAGCTGAAGTTCAAGACTCCAGACGCGTGTAAACATCACGATCAATGACGAAATAAACCAAAACTCGGAACTGAGTCGAAAGTCGGAATTCAGGCCTAGACGGGGGGTTCAATGGAGATGCCCGAGGGTTAAAGGCGTAAGGTGATTGACAGCCGGAATGATGACCTTTTTTTTACTGATTTTTATACATTTTGTTTGTGTTTTTTTTTTGGCCTGTTCTGTTTTTGTAGCGCCATTAGTCTAAAAGATAAGGAATGGAAATGGAAGTCGAGTCAAGACGGCTGCGATCGCCTCTGCCGCAGCGCTGCTTTATCGCCTGCGTCGACGTCGAAGCTGTCGTTCGGCTGATATATAATATAGAAGTTAACTCACAAGGGTTTCCAAAGGCAAACCGAATTTCAGTTGACTCAAATCGCACGAGTCGCGAGGAAGCAAAACTATAGACCGTTGAAAAGCCCTCAAAAGTGAAAACCGTTTGACTTCGCCTTAGGTAAATAAAAAAATTAAACAACAAATCATCCATTACTACCCTGGATAATCGGGGAAGATTGTTCAAACAAATCGATTCGGATTCGGAAAGTGCTGGTGCCAAATTACCCCGAATTAAGCTGCAATTTTCGACCGGCAATCAGTGCGATCAGTAAAACTAACATAGAACGCATTTCTCGACTTCCCGACACGCAGACCCCGACATATAGAAAACAAGCAACCGACATAATGGCAGCCACCGATATCAGCGAGGAGGCCTTCAACTTGCGCATTGGCTATCTGAAGCCCGAGACCGTGGAGATCGCCCGCGTGGAGCTGCGGGAAACCGAGGAGGTCAAGGCGGCGGCCATCATCAAGCTGAGGGAGCTGCTCCATGCCACTCCGGAGCTGAACTACAAGGACGACGACGCCTTCCTCACAGTCTTCCTCCGCGCCTGCCACTTCTACCCCGAGGGAGCCCTCGAGAAGGTGCGTACCATGACCGTAAACCGTGATCAGTGCTAGGTTATTATGCAAAGAAAGTACTCATTTTTGTGGGTAATACAAGAAAAATTTTTTCTATTTTTTTTTTTTTAAATGGTAAATAGTTAAATCTGTAGAATTTAATTTCGCTTATATTGTTGTCCGCAAGTCGAAGTTTTTATTTGATTTTATCACTTACAAATTACATGTTAGTATTGAAGAAACAAGTCGATGATATCAATGAGATGGCGAAGAAAACAGATTTCAGACAACTATATACATTGTGTATTTTGAATCTTGTAAAAAAAAGGTTAAGGTATGATATTATTTTATTTATTTGAGAATCAATTTTTCTAAGAGCTAAGAAAATTTTGGCAGATAAAATTCTAATTATTTAAAATAAAAATCAATATTCACAATTATTCAAAAATTATGATAATATTCAATTTAATTTGAATAATCTTCTAGTATTAAATTCAACGCTGTTCCTGCAATCTGAAATCTTCAAATGGAATCATTGCTTTACATACTGTCAAATCTCATTCATGTACATTATGAATCGATCGCCTTAGAAACAAAATCCAATGACTTTCGCTTATCAACACAAGTTGCTTGATATTTGGTTCAACATTTGAGAGATTATCATATGTTTAGAACGTCTCGAACAGTCTTATCGCCAGCAAACAAATTTGACTTTCGAGCTGTTTAAATGGGGTCTATAACCTAAGTTCGAACAACGAGAATAAAGCAATGATTTAAATCCCTACACTGAAAACGAGACTGTTCAATGATTTATTTAATTTATGAGGCAGTTTATCAGTAGAATACCCCTTCAAAGGATTATGTTAAGAAATACTAATCAACTGCTTATAAAATAAGCAATAAAATACAAGAAAATAGCCAATTCATTTAGGGTCTAGGTAAGATGATATATGGATAGTATAAACGAAGAAACATTCGATCTGAAAGGCAAGAACAAGATCGGTTCCAATACCCGTCTGCTGATAACTTTTTGCTTTTGAACTCGCTGACCAGGCAGAGAAAACCCTGATAAGCGGACCCGATTCCGATTCCAATTCCGATCCGATCGGATTCTCTCTATGCAAGTGGAACGTACAATGACTTTTAGAATGACTGAATCAGGCCATAAACGTCGAACGTTCGCCATTTTGAATTTATCATCATAGGAAGCCGCATAAGTTATATGGTCATTTTATGGTTCCGATCAATGGTCAATACCTTATCACATATGGATTCTAATCTAATAATGTCACACTTGCCAAAAGATGAAATCAACCCGGTACTTCCGTATGCGTCACAGGTTCAAAGTTTTATCGTTTCAATTACACAATCTTTTTAAATGATAAAAAAAAAGTACTAAAATAAAGTTGCTAAGGCTTCCAAGCATCTGGTTGTATTATCTAATTTCATAGGAGTTATATTGCATCTTTTAAGCCTTTACTTATTCATAATCTTTTTTGAATGTAAAATAAATTTATTTAAAAAAGGGAATGCTGAAATCTTTCAAGAACCTGGTTATTTTATATATTTTTATACGACATATATTTTATTAAATCTTTTTAAACCTTTACTAATTGTGAATCCTCTTTAGATGAAAACCACGGCCACCTTCCGCAAGGAGTACGCCTCTCTGATCCGAGGACTTTTGGTCGAGCAGGTCAAGGAGAAATTCGTCAAAGGCAGTGTGATCAATGTGCTGAGGAACTGCGATCAGAAGGGTCGTCGCGTGCTGATCGTGAACTGTGGCAAACTCTGGGATCCCAGCGAGATCAACAGCGATGAGATGTTCCGCATGTTGTACATGGTTCACTTGGCCGCCCAGCTGGAGGAGGAGACCCAGGTGAGGGGCGTGGTCTGCATCATGGACTTCGACGGTCTGTCCATGAAGCAGGTGAAGGCCCTGTCGCCGAGTTTCTCCAAGAGATTGCTCACATTCATCCAGGAGGCGATGCCGCTCCGCATGAAGGAGGTGCACTTCGTGAAGCAGCCGTTCATCTTCAACATGGTCTGGTCGCTTTTCAAGCCCTTCGTCAAGGAGAAGCTGAACAAGAGGGTGAGTGTGGTTTCATTTCTAATATATATTTAAGGCTAATGAAAAAAAAAATTAATTATTATTTAACAACCTTTAAACAAACACAAAATGTGTATCCATTTATTTGTATTTATTTAATTACATCTAAGAAATATTAAAAGTAAATAACTATTGTTGCTTGTGGCTTACTTTTAGGTTAAAAGTATTCAAATTGCAATAAACGAAATACAGTTTCTGAAAGCCTTGTCCTTTTGCCCAAAAAACTAGGCAACACTTTCACAAAAAAAATAGGATTTTATTTTTAGTATTTAATATATTCTTTAATTATACTCACTAATTAAATATTCAATTTACTATTTTTCCCACAGATGCACTTCCACGGCAGTGATATGAAGTCGCTGCAGAAGTTCCTCGACCCCTCCATCCTGCCCGCCAACTACAAGGGCAACCTGCCCGCCATCGACTACGGCGGCGTGGAGTGGTTCCCCGCCCTGGAGAAACAGTCGCAGTACGTGGCCGATTGGAGCCAGTTGGGCCCCGCCCAGTGGTGATTGCCTCATTCCAAACCAAGCGCCCAAACACCAACCACATCCTACTGACATTAGCTTAACTTTATGCTTGTAAATACTTGCAACTTGTGTTTGCTTAGTTCGTAACATTTTGGAAATAAATTAGTTACATTTTACTATAAACCACTGAAAACTTGACGGGACATTTATTATTTGATGTGGAATTTAAAAAGGTATTTTAATTGGCTTAAAGAAATATTTTAAATGGTTTATAATGTTGTAGAAAGTTTTTATCGTTTTATTATGAATCCTTTTCCCCCTTTAATATTAATTTTCGGTTAACTACCTTATTCTTGACTCAAGGGAGACAATACATATTAACTCTATGTATGTACTTCATTAGTTAAGTTGAGTGTCATTACAGACACTCCAATCAAACCATTCAATTTAACAAGTACCAATTCAACCCAACCAATTATAAAATAGTTTTTACAATGAGATGTTCCTGCAAACATTGGAACTCTTATCAGCCAAAACCCGTTTCCCATTACCATTAAAACAAAAGTCGGTTATTTTTTATGAATTGGCTAGTTCATGTGAGTGTGTTTTAGGTTTATTCAACGCGTCTTTGGACTTTCAACTACTTCCATTTTCATACTCGATCATGGTCAACATATGCGAACAAAGCATACAAAATGTTTTGCATATCAAACGGAAATTTACAGCTCTGTGAGTGAGTTAATTCGAATATCATTCAAGTATTTTGTGTGTTTTTCTACAATCATGGCAACGATGGTGACCATACACCAGCATTAACTACATCAAATATTACACAAATAAATTTATATATATATATATATACGTAAATATGTAAGAAAGTGGGATGATTCAAATCCAATTTTAAAACTTTACATATGTAACACCGAATAGAATCCGCACTTTCACGTATTTTATGTTGACCGAAACTCCTCGCTTAAAGAGAGGTGGCTTAATTTGTTAGCTTTTTGTTTTCGTTGGAGTCTCTAAATGTGATGGGTCGTGCCTGTCCGCTTACAATACCATATTGGACGGATCCTCCATGTAGTCGCGGAAGTGCTGCAGCCACCTGGCAGCAACAGCTCCATCCACCACACGATGATCAGCACTGAGGGTGACGGTCAGCACGTTGACCTCCTTGAAACTGAAATTAGAATTGAAGTTTAGTTTTAGTATGAAAAAAATAATACTAAGGGTAGCTAAAAACTTAGAAATTGAACGCTAACAACTTAGGATATTTGTTTTATAATTTTTACAAAATTCAAAGTCCGATTCAATTACTTAACCTCCTTATGTTTAACCCTATATTATTGGCAATTCTTACCCCTTGGGACTGTCAGGATCCACAACCAGCTTTTTCGTTGTGGTGCCAATGGCCAGGATGCACGATTGTGGGGGGTTGATAACGGCAGCAAATTGGTTCACACCTAAAACCGAATAACATTTTAACAAGGGTTTTGAATAAGGTACTATAAACAATATCCATACCGAACATGCCCAAGTTGGACACCGAGATGGTGCCACCCTGGAACTCGTGGGGCTGCAGCTTGTTGTCGCGCGCCTTGCCTGCCAGCGCTTTGACATCCTTGGAGATCTCCAGGACACCCTTGCGGTCGGCATTGAAGACAATCGGGGTGATCAGGCCCTTGTCTGTGGAGACGGCCACCGAAACATCGACATCGTCGTACTGCCGGATGACTGTGCCCATCCAGGCGGAGTTCGCCTCGGGCACCTTCAAGCTGGCAATGGCGACGGCCTTGATGATGAAGTCGTTCACGGAGACGCGGGCGCCCTGCTTCTCGTACTTTTTGTTCACCTTAGCGCGGAACTTCAAGAGCTGAAATTTAAACAAGAATTACGTTTAGAAATTAGGAATTAAAATAAAGTTTAGATAGTAAAATAGAGCTCTGCTTCAAACATCTAAAATTTTAAATAAATACGTTCGATTAGCATTTTTGTTTTCTTTTTAAGTTAACAAGGCAAAATGGATAAATTGGTAATTTCTAATTATTCCAACCGAATGAATTCCTGCATCATGCCATTTTTAATGTACAAATTGTTAATCTGTTTTAAATTTTAATTTCGGAAACATATATTTTTTGCATTTAACGATCAAGAAACATTGGAAAACTGTTGCTTCTTCAAAATGGGTCGAATTTTAGTTCTGGCCTTTTTAATCTTATATTCAGTTTTCGAAGTTCGTAATTAATTTAAAGAGCCAAATATGGTACTAAGTAAATTTTATTACAGGTTACTTCCAAATTTGAGTTTACAAACTGCAAATGTACTTCCACAGACAAAGTCTTCGGAGATTTTGAATACTGCTATCTTAAATCGGTGAATCGTACTTACAAATACGTTTCTACAAAATATAAATTAAACAAAATCATTTATAGTGCAAAGGTGAGTAATTAATATGATTGAAATATCTTTTAAAAGTTTTCTACTAGGTGAATCTTGCACTGCAAAAGCGTTCAAACGGCTATAAACCATTCCTATATAATGTCTCAGTTGATGCCTGTAAATTTTTGAAGAGTCCCAACACCTTTCCAGTCAACAAATACTTTTATGAATTTATCTCTTCTTGTTCGAATATCAATCATTCCTGTCCCTACGACGTAAGTACAATTTTTAATTTTAAACTAAATAAATAATTTACATATTTTTTCAAGCACGACATTATATTTGAGAAAATCACCACCAATATTGTAAATCATCAGATTACAAAGAGACTACCTTTTCCGGATGGAGATTACCTTTTGGAAATAGATTGGTACGCCAACAACGTTCATCGGGCTGTACAAAAATTCTATGGAACCCTTTCTTGAGTTAAAATAAATCATAACTATTGCTGATAAGCACCGCAATAAAATTTGTTGGTTTCTTAAATACTAAGATTGAATAATCTACTACTTTGTTGTTAATGAGAAGTTATACCTTAATTCGGTTTGGCTAAGAAGTTATAATTTATAGTTATCCATAAAGACTAAAAATGCACAATTTGTGAACTATTCATTGCCTAACAAACTCCCATCTTTAGTTTTAGTTTTTATAGAAAATTATTTATGCATTGAAAATGAAATCGTTATCACTCACCTTGTCCACTTGGCATTCTACGGTGACGTAGTAGTGTGGCAGTTGGGTCTTGGACTCCAGCAGGCGCTTGGCGATCACCGCCCGCATGTTGGTCACCGGGATGTCCTCGTAGCGGGCTCCGGCCGCCTTGGGACCCTTGGCAGGTGCCGCCGCAGCAGCTGGCTTGGCTGCCGCTTGGCCTGCAAGATCACCAGATTTAATTGAGCCATGGACTCCACTGCCCTTGCCTGCACACAAAAGCCGCGGATTAGTAACAGAACAATTGGACTGGGGAGCGATAAATGGAGAGGTGGGTGCTTATGAATGTGTAATGGAGCAGCGATCTATAAAAAATGAAAAGTTTAATTTATATGTAGAACTCAAAACGTAATTAAAATTAATAAAGCTTCTCGAATGTAATAGTTGTGAAACTCATTGGTGATATTATTGATTCTGTCTATCCAGTTTGCTTAAAAATATTCATCTAGTAAAAGTATTTTCTCTAAACTGTAAACGTGTCGTATGAGTAATGTTGCAAACCGAAAAAGTATTTTCTCTAAACTGTAAACGTGTCGTATGAGTAATGTTGCAAACCGATTTTTTTGAAAATAAAATTATTTGATTAACTGAAGAAAATTTACCAGCTAAAAAACTTCAACCCTACTACAAATTTAATGGGTTTAAACCACAAGTTATCAAATCTCAGAATGCCAGTATAAATTGTATTCTATCTTAGTTTTGCAGATAAGAAAATTCTGACAGACCTAGAATGAAAAACGACCTGATTGACAGCAATGAGATGCGATGGATTTTAGTCAGGCGGTGCAAGCAGGACGAAACGGGACAGGATGAATGTCAGACAGGCATTAGTTGGGATTGAACAACCTTGTAGACGCAGCTGTTGTGCCTCGGCTAGTCGCTTGGCCATCGGACTGGCGTACACGCGGCCCGTACCTGCTGCAGCTGGAGCAGCGGCTGGAGCTGGGGCGGGTGCAGCTACAACTGGAGCAGCGGGAGCTGGCGGTGGTGGCGCTGCCGCAGCTGCTGGCGCTGGAGCGGCGGCCGGTGCAGCTGCTGGTGCTGGTGCGCCGGCTCCGTCGTCCTTGAAGTCCGCGAATGCCGCCACGCTTCCCTGATCCGGTACAATAATGCACAGCAGCTGGCCAACGGGCACGTCCTTGGTGCCACCCTGGATGAGGATCTTGGCCAGGTAACCCTCCTCGGGCGTCTCGAAGCCCATGGTGGCCTTGTCCGTTTCGATCTCGCACAGCAGATCACCTGCAATCGGATTTTTATACATTACACACTTGGATTCGGGCTTGGTTGAGTCGGCCTACCCACCTTCGTTGAGTTGGTCGCCCTCCTTCTTCTCCCAGCTGACAATCGAGCCGCGCTCCATGGTGGGCGAGAGGGCGGGCAGGGGAACCCTGATGTGTTCCGGAAGGCTGGCATAAGCGCGGGCAAAATTGTAGCTCCATACGGCCGGAGTTTTCGGCTGGCTCAGTTTGGATCTACAAGACATCAATGAAAAGATTTATTAAGTTTGGACTTTTACTTTGTTTGGTGTTGAGTTTTTAAAGCTTGTTTTAAATATGATGTTCTGTTTTATCAGCTAAATATAGTACCCCTCAGATCTTAAGTTACTAAACCTATGTGTTTCTTATGAAGGTCTATTTAAAAGAAATAATGCTTCTAATAATGTGGTTCTCCTTACTTTTATTACTAAAACGGTTAAAAAAGAAATTAAACCGTTTGCTTATGACACTCTAAAAATTAATTTTTGCAATTTCGAAGGGTTAATTTATGGCCGCTTGATCAGCTGACGGTTTGTTGTTGTTTACGTTCCCACACTCCTGTACTAACTAACTAAATGAATTCTTCAATCACACACTCATCAGATGTAAACAAAAGCCCCCGAAAAAAAGGTGACCAATTGAAATCATTAGACGTAATTTTCCAGCTTATCAGCCAGCCGAAACACTATCACGCATCATGCGATATATAGAAGCGTGTATACGACCTTGGCCATAAAACCAATCAGCAGTGGAGCACGCACAACACACGCAAAACCTATATGTAGAACCCATATGCGAGATTGATGCTAAATACTTGAACACGGGGCTGTCAATCATCCTCCCCCTGAGTGCCACGAAAGTAAAGCCCACATATAATACCGCTGCAGTGTACGCATTTTGCAATATTACACAACCATTTCTAACCTCAACGAGAGCGGGGAGATTTGCAGGGGCAACTTTTTACCTAATATTCTGGAGATTCCGGGAGTTGATCAGCTGGCAACTGAGGGCGCGCACTCCAACATTACCGGCCGATCGGCGGATACAGGTGGCGTTATTCGATCGCAGGAGCACGGAGCGAAGGGCCCCAATTTCGTTTCGTGTCGTTGCAAGGGAGCGCAGCATTTTCGTCCTTTCTCGTTAGTCTCCCGGTGGAATCGTGATCCAAATCCTGATGTGGTGGCGCGCGTGGATGTCGTAGGTCTTTCGGCGCGAGAATTGGAATTTTGACAAGTGCAACGAGTCGAATAACGGCAAAGTCGAGAATTTACAAAAAATTGTTATGCCGATAACCTTTAGGAGGTCAGTGTGAACGCAGCCGGAACGCCAAAAAATGTCACGCTGTTCGCGGTAATAAAATACCAAAACATACCAGGGCAGTTATAACAAAAATTGAAAAACTTAAAAGGAACAAAAAACATTGACAAACTTATCAAATTTAATAGGATGGGGTTTTCCCTTTGGTCCAGAGGAAAATTCCTTTAAGACACTCCTTTATATTAAGACACCAGCGTAGTATTTGGTCACATCTTTTCATCACTTAGGGCAGAACCCTTATCCGATAGTTTCTTATGTATTATACACACTAAACCGTATGTTGACAAAAAGCTTAAAATAAAATATTTTATATATATTTATTTATATATAAAATATATTTAAACATAAATATATTTATTTATATATAAAATATATTTAAACATAAATATATTTATTTATATATAAAATATATTTAAACATAAATATATTTATTTATATATAAAATATATTTAAACATAAATATATTTATATTTATTATTATTATAATTATTAAAATTTTCTTGATATAAAAACTATTTACCTGGAACTGTAACTTAATAAAAATACTCATATGCGTGATAATGTATATTTCAACCAAAACCTAACTAAACCTGCCATGATTAAAATGTCAGCCAATGATAGACGATTTGTTGTTATTTATTTCCGGCTTCAAACAATCTATTTTTATACGAAAGCCCACAGCCTGTTAAGAAAAATCTGAGCAGGGGTCAACCCCTAATAACAAATTAACATATAATGGTTTATTCATTGGAGCTTAGTCTTAAGGAATCATTTTATTATGGTAATTAAAAATTTAAGAAATAATTTAACACATTAAGAAAGTGATCACACCCAGCGAAGTAGCCAAGGCCCAAAGTCAAACGAAATACATGTCTTTTCTCTTCGTCATTACTTTGGTTTAGTTTTTCCCAAAAAATTTAAAAAACCAAATATGTATCTACAAAACTTAAGTTTTCATTAATTTGCTTTGTAACAAACGGAAAATTAATAATTTTTACACTGGAAATTCTTTTATCCTTTAGATTAAAGTAAGCTTACAGCCCAGAGAAACAAAAAAATTTGTTTAAAAGTTTATTAGCATATTTTAAGTGTAACACCTACAAGGTTCTTAAATTATGATTGTTGACAAAATTCGCATCTTTAAAATTTAAATTTTTTAGGAGTAATCTGAATTTCGGTAAGCTTTGAAAGCACTTTAGTACGTCGTTTTCGTATGCAAATCGCCTCATATTGAGTGTACTTCAACATGTGCCGGGTTGCGGGCCACACCAGAGCACCTGATGAAGTACAATAGACATGGGAGACAGTTGATACACCTGGGATTTGTTTCGAGGACTCGACGGCGAGCTAAACGTGCTGGATATGGAGATGTATGTCTGGCACCACGCGCGCTACTTCAGGTACCTGACTGTATATAAAAACCAGCCCCGGTCACTGATTAGCGCGCAAGGCAGTAGACTTTTTTCCAGCTGGGGAACATCATGTATACCGAGTAGGAGCTGAAGCTGGAGTTGAAGATGTAGATGTAGATATTTAATATAAGATGTATATAAGCTTGTCAAATATCTCCCTTACGCCTTTTTGCTCTTTATTCGATGCTGTTTATTTTCTGTAAAACTTTATTTACTGTAATACTTTGAATAAAGCATTGTATAAAGAGAAAAAAGCGGAAGGAAGATATTTAACAACCTTATATAAAGCCAAGCCCAGTCAGGTTTCTTCGTTTTCCTTTTTTCGCTGTTCTGAGACAGATGTTCGGCCGCCTGGCAACAAAACTGCAGCAAATGGCGACCCCCATTTCTGGGATGGAAGGGGTCGGGTGACGACCTTGTGCCTGGTATTAGGTCCCCGTTCCCGATTTAGGGTTAACGATCTCATCGCTCTTTTGTAGTTGTACGCGGTGATGATGACGCCATGCGAATTTTATGCAATAACAATGCCAAAATTAGTCATATGAGACTGGAGAACTGAAGCCAGGGGCGTATCTAGAGTAGAATTTGGGGGAACTTTATGATTGTTATGCGGGGCCATAATAAAAATGGTGATTTGGTTTCGTGTGCATGTTTAACGAACTCTTCTCCAAAAGGGGAACCTTCCCCTTGTTGCGCCACTGACTGGAACATGGAGTGCTAATGACCACATAGGACGTGACGTCATCCGGCGGCGAATTATTACATTTCATTCAGCAAATTCTCTTTATCTTGCGCTTCGTCTGGCAGACCCTTGATATTCTATATTTGAAACGCTGTAAAGAGACAAGCAAATGAAATAAAAGCCAAAAGAAGACGCAAAAAATGAGCATAAATTGCGCGAGAGGGAAGTTGGAAAAGTAAAAAAAAAGAACCGGCGTTTTAAGCTCTCTCTGGCGATCCCCCTCTCTTATTCACTCTTTCCCTCTCTCTCTGTTACTAACCGCAGCTACGTGCGTGATCGCTCACAAACACTTTGGCAAAGGTGAACACATACAGCTGAGACACACACGTGCCTTTCATACATTCGCGAATTCTCTTAAGCTTGTGTGGGTATTTAAATTTTTGCAAAAGTATTTTTTAACTGCCTTTTCGGCTTTCTTTATTTTCTTACAACACGCCTCATAAACCAGCGATCGCCAACAACTTTGGACTGTGAATAATGGCAAATTTCTGCGAAGCAGCCACATGAATATATATATTTTTGTATATATATATACAAGCAGTATATAAATGAGCAGCCATTGCTTGGGTGGGGCATTCCTAACCTCAAAAAACGACTGTATCAGTTTGTAAGTGTGGGTGTCTCTTCACTCTTCTCTATTCTCTCTTTCTTTTTTTGCAGCAAAAATGCAGCACATGCTTTTTTCTAGCCAAGCCACCGTTTTTTTTTTATTGTTGCCCTTAACCCTGAACAAAAGAAAAAGAACCGTCTGCTCAAAATTCGATCACTCACGCACACACCCACAAAATGAGCTTTGTCTGGGTTAAAAAAATCTAAAATTAATATTTGAGCGACACACACAAAAAAACCTACGTTCGTATGGGTTATATGGAAATATGTAGAATCATGTGGTCGTCGTTTGCGTCATTTTTTCTCGTAGTGTAGCGAAAAAAAGCTGCCTTGTGATATCGAAATGCTAAAAATACACCTCGCTCTTCTTTCGGCCCGTCTCTTTTGTGTCTTCTTTTTAATGTTCTTTTTTAATTCCTTTTGGTAGAAAAACCCAGAAGCTCCAGAAAGCACGTTGGTGTATCGCCTTCTCTGTCGCTCGAATTTCACAATATGTTTCGGTTCCGTTTGCGATTTTTTTTTTGTCTTTTCCACAGACAACTTCCGTTGCATTTTCCTTGGCTTTCACACACACGCACCGCACAGCACACACGCGCGTTTGCTATTTTCTGTGAATATTTTTCTTTAACGCCCCGCTCTCTCTTCTCCCACGTTGTTGTCTGTTGTCTCCCATTTGGTGCGAACCGAACGACTGTGCCAAAGCCCAGAAATTGTCTGGCCTTTTATTTTATATGGCCAGGCCGATTGCGATTTTCCTGCCCACAGAGATAAACCGAAAATCGGCAAAGGCCAAAGAGGCGGACGGCGAAGGAAAGGCCGAGAGAGCCAAAAGAGCGAACCGCGTTTGCCGGTTGTCGGCGATCAAATGCGGCAAATCAAGAGCCAAACTCGCGAATTTTATTCGCAGTCGTCGACGGCGTCGTTAGCAGAGGCAGCGACTGCGGCCGCCGGTGTTGCCGTTTCTCTCGCACAGTGGCGCCGTCGCCGAAAGGGGAGCCACCAAAAAGGGGGGCGGCGACAATCCGCCGAGACGCTGGTGCTACTGCTTCCTGCTTCCTCTTCCTCACCAACTGCACATGCACTCACACAGATACGCGCAGCAGCGCAAACGCATACATATGGCGGTACAGTGGGCCTTCGATACAGTGGTAGATTAACAACACTTTTAAAATTAGGGAAGACATATCAATACTGTTCATTATTTTAAATCTGAACAAATAACACCAATTGACCTCATAAATAATGAATCATATTTAAGGCGATGAATACATAAATAATAATCATAAAACTTAAATTATTTTGACACTAAATGCAAGACAAGAAAAAACGGTTAGGTGAGTTTCATAAATAATTATTTTGGCGATATCATTCCAGTAAAGGGTCTACGTTTACCAGCTGTATTTACTGTATATACAGCCTTCATTCGAGTTCCTTTGTTATAAAAGTGCACCACCATTTAACGACTGCAGCCAAAAGCTCGAAACAGTGGGCTGCTTAGGTAGCCATTAAGTAGACCTCAACACAACTCCTTTTTTTTAGGCGCTTATAAAATGAATGAAAATTTGAATTGATCAGTAACATTAACACAAAATTAATACATTTTGATTAAATAAGGTTTTCAATTAGAAATGTTTACTTCTTTTGTGTCCATTCATTCAATTTTCTTCTATTGAACGGGGTCGGGTTGCTAATTTTGATGTTATAAACCTTTATATTTGTATGACACATAAAAAGACCTTTAGAAACTGTCTTATTCAATTCGGTCACACGTTTAATAATAACAATTAGTTTCCTGGAAATATTTCACCGGGAAATTACCGTGAAAACATAAGTCATGATATTACCGTTCTAGGAAGATATATTACAACACATTTCTTTAATCTTCGACAACGTGATAGTCATAATTTTGATAGTAAATAATATTATTATATTTTTTTTTAACTAAAGCAATAACTGCCCACTGTGCTCTCTTTCTGACTCTCGCTCTGGCTCCTGCTCTCTGTCGCTCTGCAGCGCTGCCCATTGTGCATATGTATGCTTTTTGGCTACATCCCGCAGCCCCCCGCCCTCTTGCATCCTGTCTGGTGAGCCCACCTCTCACCTTCACCCTTCTCCCTTCTCACCTGTCTCTCCGGACGAAGCGACAATGTCAATGCGCTCGTCTCTCTGCCGCTTCTTGGTGTGAGTGCCAGTGTGTGCACTTTTTGTACTGTTGTTACACACTCACTCACTGTCCTTTTTGACTCACCTTCTCTTCCTTTTCAAGTCGTTGGTTACTCCGTGATTCATCTTAATCTTAAGACAAGAATTTGATCGTAATTTCTATTTATTTCATCTTATTTTTATCCTTTTTGTTTTCTAGAATTTTACTACATATATAACTTAGGTCACTAGCTATTACAATTCTTAACTACCAACAAGTACAGACACAGACACGTACAAATACCATAGGCTGGCTTTAAGATCTACAAACAAATAGTAAAATAATTGGATAAAACTCCTAAAAACGAAATCCTCTTGTCGTTGTAAAACTTCATTAACTCATGTATACATAAGTATTTAAAATGCTCGTTTGAATTAACTACTTTACATTAAGGCATTTATCATTTCTGATAAATGCAAACAATTACGTTTTGAAAAAGTACGGGAAAGCCCCTGCTGTTTTTTTTGATAAGCATCTATAAGTACATGAGCTTAAGTTTCACGAGGATCTAAGTTGTTTAAAAGACCATCCAAAAATAAAATCTCTGAAATCAGGACTTCGGGGCCAAGGATTCGTCATCGTCATCGGCGTCCGCAAAGCATGCTCTGGCATGCTTCCAACCACGTGGTTATGGAGATGCACTCGGTTGGACATTGATAAATGGCTGCCACCTCAGGCAGGAGTCGTCGATCTTGGGGAAGGTTCCTCTTCGCTTCACCCTTTCCTCGTACTCATCCAGGACGTCCTATGAAAATTAAATGATCAGTTTGTAATATCCCTAAACTTTTAACTTTAATAAAATTTACCTGCTTTTTGAGTACTATGTGCTTGCCCTTCCAGTACTTCATCATGCCCAAAGCCTGAAGGGTGCTTACAATGTCATACGAGTAGATCGCCGTTTCCTAGACATCCAAATAAATTCGAAAAAGACAATTAGTCCTAATTGAATATCAAAATAATTATACAAATGATTTTAAACATGAAATTTTTTTTAGGCAATTAAAAAAATGAAGCGAAATCATTTAGTTTTTGAGGCACATGTATAGGAATTATTAAAAGCGATCTATTAAGCTTTCGATTTAATAAAACTTGCCTGGGACACATCCTTGATGGTCAGAGTGTTCCCCGATCGATTACACAAGTAGTCCAAGAGCACATCCTTCCAGTACGAGCGGTACGAGATCAGTCCAAGATCGGATAACGGTTTCTCTGGCGAGCCGATTTTTCCCTCTACGCGGGTCAGCAGATAGCCTGCAAGTAAGGCGGAAAGGATACGGATGCGGGTTAAAAATAGACCCCAAGAAGTATGCTACAGATTGGGGCGAAACGGAGTTCCTTGAGTTCCGGCGTATTATTTATGGTGACCAACTTCGGGCCCGCCCTCTGCTTCGCCAGTGTCTGTATGTGTGATTTAAGTGTGTGCGTGTTGTGTCTAGACAGGATTCCGCAAAGTATTCAAGGGGACCGGGGGAGGCAAGGAGGGGGTCCACATTTAAACAACGTTCTGGCGTACATTCAACCCAACGACAGTGTCACCCCAAAAGAACCCACCCCAAAAGAATGATATTCTGGATTCTAGAGCCGTCTGGCAGCAACAATTCCCGTCTCTAGATAACAACAACAACACACCGAGGAGAGAGAAGGAGCAACAATGAGTGCAAGCTAAGTAAATTGACGAGGACGAGAGAGCGAGGACACAACACAAAATCCACTGAGGCAGGCTCGGGAAAAAACCGTTAGAAGAAGCAGTAGTGGTAAAGGGGGAAGCGGGAGCGAGAGGAGCAAAGGCAGAGGAGCGCCATGGGAGTAGGCACTTTTGGTTGTAGGTGCTCTGCTACAGAAAAGGTCACACAATAAACAGACACTAGTTTTTTACTTTTAAAAGGCACAAATGTATGTACAAATTTTTTTGATTTCAAAAAATTTCGTTCACAGCTTAACTTTTATACATAGGAGATCGATATAGAAAAATAAAAAGGCAAAGTTTTTAATAAATTTGTTAGGTGAGGACTAATTTTTTAACCTGTTCTCTTACCCCTTGTCGCACCCATGTCACCAGCTGTGTAGAGCACGACTCAGTCAATGGCAGACGGCAGACACAGCTGAGGAGGCAAAAGGAGAGAGCGGGAATGATGAGAAGAAGAAAGCGAGGGAAGGGGGGAGAATCCTGCTGACTGACTGGACGAGCGCAGGGTTGAACGCATACAAGCAAAGAACCGCACACAAAGCTTTTCGCTCGGCTGAGCACAGTGGCACGAACGTAAGATAAGTAGTTCTTAACAAAAATTGTTAGTATGAAATGTTTTCAAAACCGTTTTAACCGGTAGTTAAAATAAATTTCTTTAAATTTTTTAAGACTTTTTCTTACCAGTAAAGTAGGAAGTAGGTTTAATTTAGTTCTATGCCATATTATACTTGAAAAAAAAATTTTATTTCGTGTACTCTATACAACGCTTAAATCATAAATGTTTTGATGCAGGCCATTTTGATGAAAAATGGGATTTAAAAGCATTTAAAAAAAAGTTACCAAAATTTACATTTCAATTCAGAGATCGCCAAAGAGTAATACCCTTAAGCCAGCTGTTTTCCGACTGTACGCACTGTTTTATGCATTTCGAGAGGTCTGCCCCCTTTGTCCTGCTCCTGACGCAACTTCTGGCCACGAGGGCGTTTTCGGGTGGCACTTTGATTTCTTTGTGCCGCACTTCGTCTCGCTCCTTCACCTCTTTCTCGCCGCGATAAATCCAGGAGCAACGAGACGGGAAAGCGATGTTGGTGCGAGCGAATGGGGGAGTGTGAGTGGAAACGTCGAGACGACTTTATCGATCCATTTTTATTCGCACATTTGCGCTCCCGCTCGCACTAGCACACTAGTCGCTGACGCAGCAACATTGTTGTTGCATAGCCACAGGCGCTGCGAACGAACAGTAATGAGTTAAAGAATGAAAATCTACGCTAAATGTGCAAAGAGAACGGCGACTGCAACTTTAACTCAAATTAGCAAGGCTCTAATTATTATTTCTATGCATGTTTTTCTATTTTTTTGTGCAGCTACAAGCAGTGAGTAATAAGCAGCGAGAGAGAGAAACAAAGAGAGAGTAACCGTTACTCGCTCTTTTGTGCTCGCCAAAGAGGACGACGCCCTTTCATTGTGACCTGTCCTGACCTTTGTTGTCTGCCGCCAACAATTTTTGTTTTTGTTGCTCTTCTGGTGTTGTTGTGTCTACTGAATTTTATCTACAGTCCAACTTCCTCAAATCGAAAAAATTTAATGACGTCACTTAAAGTCATTTAATAATCATTGCGATGTTTTGAAACAAAAATTTGTAGCATAACTAGGGGGATCAGTTTTTTTTTTGATTTTTGATATGATATGAATGATATATGTTTATGTTGTGTTTATGTTAAGAGCTAAATATTTTTTATATCCTCAAATCGGTTTTAAATTAAATTAATATAATTATAATAAAATATAGTAATTTAGGCCAGTTTTGGAAGCATTGCCTTTCTCAATATATCAGTTATTGAGGCATGACTGTATGTGCTTTTGTAAATATTTTGCTTATGCGGGATTGGCAAATGATAAAAGCAAAAACTTTAAGCGGCACGTTTCGTGTATTTTTGGCAACTTGGGTACATTTTGTTTGTGGGTTTTTAGAAAGTTTCATTAATTAATGCAGTAGATGGCAACCCTTGCTCAACCCTTTATATTTGGCCCCCTCATTTGCAATTTGCGTGCTGCATTTATTACACCTGGAAATAAATGCTCTATGTCCATCTCCCTCTTACACACATGGTTTGTATTGTTTAATTTTGGGGGGCTGGTGGGTTAACTTAACCCTCTGTTTGCAAGTGTTCCTTCCACCTGCCATGTGCAAAATAACCAATTTCAGTTAATAATGACGAAAATGATTTGCACTGCGGCTTTTTTGACCATATTTTAACAAAATAGTAGAAGTAGTTATGATCATTTTTAAAAGGTTTATGTTTTCTTTTATTCTAAAATAATTAAATTTTTTTCTTTTATCCAGCGGTGAGAATAAGGATAATTAGGCTTAAATACGCGTAAAAACAACAGCTAAATCTAATTTAATTTAGAAAGAATGTAAAAAATATTTATTTCTTTTTAAAGGTTGGTTTTTTTTTAACATGTTTTACTTATGCAGTTTTTCCATGAACATACCATATTCAATATGCAAGCCCTAACCTTCAAAACAAAGCCTAAACACTTATTTAAATTTATTACCAGATATCTTAGGACAGATTAGATTTATCAATTATTTTCTGTGCACCTTACTCGCTCTCTCAATGGCTCTCTATCTCTCTCTTTGACCATTACTCTTTTTGCCGGCCGGCACTTTGTGTCTGTGGGCCTTCGCGCGTGTGTGTGTAAGGTCAATGTCGTTTCGCTCGCTCTTTCCTTCGTTCATTACCGCCCAAACCCCTTTCGCTTCAAGCCAACACCCATGGGATTGCATGTATTGACTTTACATAGACATCGCCGCCGCCTCTGCCGGCGTCGACGGCATTGCAAATGTAAATGTATGACTCAAGACTCTCTTTGTCTTTACCCCTCTCCCATTCTTCACCGACAAGGTAATTTTTTTTTTTTTAATTTTTTACTAAGCTACTTTTTTTTTTGGCTAGTGTGTGTTTTTTATTGTCTTGTCTGTGGGCTTGGATTAATTTTAAACAATTTTCGTTGCAGCCGCTTAAAATTACTTATGCGATATGCAGTACACCTGTGTGTGTCTACGTTTAATTGATGCAGAAATTGCATGTTCTGCACCTGAAGAAGAAGAAGTAAGAGGAGTTGGGGAAAACTGCAATTGGAAAGCTGAGCCAAAAGTCTCTTTCATGTTTGGCTTTTCTCATGCAATGATGATTATATTTCACACACACCTGCACCCCACACACACATACACATACCAATGACTCAGCGGAAGAAGAGGAGGAGCAAAGATTCAATAAAGCCTGCAAATTTTAGTGGCCAATATACTTATTGCTAACAAGCCTCATTTAAACCTAATTTCTTGGAAACCCAGTTACTCCAACAAAGATGATTGTTATCATATGATTTTCAGGATCACTTTGATGTTTCGATTTAAGAACTGCTAACAACCCACAGAAGAATTCCTTCAATCAGTGGGAAATAGTTAAATCTTTCGATTGGTTCCCTTCCCTCATTTTTAACGTGTGACAATAACGACATTAATAGATTAACATTTAAGAATATTCATTGGTTATGATTTATTTAATCAAAGCTCAAAAGTCAATATATCTCCTGTAGAAAAATGTTGTTGAAGAGATTTCTGTAGCACCACGAAAAATGACATCATCATTTTGATTTCTTCTGTTGTACAGTTTTTTGTTGAAGGCAAATCAATGTCATTTTAATTAAAACAACTAATCAGTTAAATGTTAAATAGGATGTACATACGTTTTTTCTATTTATTTATAACCGCATCCACATCTATAAGCTCATCAGCTATAAACTTTAATTTTATTTAATTGCACACAATTTTAATAAAGTTTTCTTCGTTTCAATATATTTTTTCAAAACAAAGTAACACGGTCGTTATTCTTTATTCTGAAAGACACGATAACCATATGATTCTATGTTCGAATTGTACTAAGTGATTATTAAAACAAAGAGGAGACCTTCTTTAAAAAAATTTGGTCGTGTTGAGTGATTTTTTAAATAAAGAAGAGGGCTGTCCTGAAAATGTAATCAAATAAAGAATGATGTGTGCGTCGCAACTGAACCAAGTTTGAGTTTAATTTATATAAGATGCAAAATTTCAACTTACTGAAATCGATGAGTAATCTCCCGTAACCTTTTCTCTGATATGGCGGCAATGTTAAAATACACGAGACGTTGTAGAACGAGTTCTTCTCTTGCAGAAAAGGAATATGCTGAAAAATAAGAAGGAAACATTTAAAGATATTTTATAAAACGGAAATACCAAACAAGATAGATATTATTTTGTTGGCTTAAAAAATCACTTCAAGATTCCGCTAATCCAGGTAAAAGTAACCAAAGGTTAGGCTTACATATTATTAAAATTGAATCAATTACACACAGTCAAGAACAATGACAGACGGAAAAGGAGTGGGGAAAAATCGAGCTCGAAGGGTATGGGGAAAAACTCCAGAGTTGGGGGATCAGACAGATATTTTCCAGACAAAAGTTGAGGGGAAATGGAGCCCTGGCAAGTGGAAGAGATGATGGCAACATTCATCTGTCGCTTTTGGCTTTTTTCGGCAGTTCAATGACCAGCAAAATTAAATGAATCGATAGACAGTCAGCACAAGAGACAGTCGGAAAGAGATGGCAACAACTGGGGGAAAGAGATGGCCAAAATAGCGAGAGAACTGTGCGTAAATATATAGACATACGCATATAGCTGCTTCTGCAGGAACAGGACGAGGACTCCCAGCTGGGGGATCGGGATATATGTGCAAGCCAGTCCGACTCGTACATGGATATAGCCATGCCAAGCCCTCTCCTCTTCTCATGGTCATTGCCAAAAAAACAATCCCATGGAGAACGTACAGGGCAAAAAATACCGCCGTGATTGCTTATGGAAAAGGTTACAATTTTTTTTTAAAGATTTCGTAAGTTTTGCATTTAAAGGTTAAAATGAAAAACAGGGATACAATGCCGAAAAACTCAAAACGCAATCATAAAAATATCCAAGCTGAAACGGTTTTTTTTTTTTACCACTTTTAAAGAATTTAAGATTGTTAAATTATTTTTCGTATTGAATTTGTGTTACATTTTATAGATCTGGATGTAATAACTGTGTGAAATGTGTCGGGTAATAACACTAAAGATTGCCAATACTTAATATTAGTTTTACTACACTATTTTTTAAAACTTCCCTTAAAAGAGCTTCTTAGTGTTGCTTAACAGCAGAAGTGATCAATCGATTTTATTTTTTAAGTTATATTAAATAATAGATTGGTCTTGAAAACCAATTGTTTGCCTATGAAAAATTGTTGAAAATACTTTAAGACCACTACCGGATTTAATTTTCCGAGTGTGGGATCTGGAATCTGGCAACAATTCGGAAATTCATTTATGTACACTGCGGGTTTTTCATTTTGATTTTCCCTTTGTAGTACGCCTGGTTTTTGTTTTTTGAGGTCTGTTTCTTTTTTTTGTTGTTGCTCGTTTTTCTTTTGTCTGCCTTGATGTCTGGGAACGCGACCACATAGCAGAGGAGTCCCTGTTTCCCAATCGGATCCCCCGGCGTCCCCGGGATCCCCCTCCCCCTTCCATCTGGGATTTTCCTGGCCCGGGCAACCGCTGTTTTTGTGGAGCAGGCGCAGTCGCAGTTGCAGGCACAGAAATTCCCGGACCCGGCTGAACCCAGAGGTGCACGACCTCAATCGTGTCCAACGCACATCCCGCATCCCACAGCATCCCAGCATCCGAGCACCGGAGCGGAGCAGAGCAGCGCCGCCTCCATCCTCCAATCCTCGATGTCTGGCTGCTGTCTGGACCCCGTTTTCAAGTCGGAGAGTTGGAGGTTAACTGCGGGACAAAGGATTGCCGAAAATTATCACTGCCGATTGGGGTTGGGGTTGGGCCTTTCACTCGAGTTTACACGCAGCCTAGTTTGCAAATGCAATGTCATGATTTGGACCTAAAAATGACTTGGATTATCAAAGTCATATAAACACTTCAGTTAATGTATTTTGAAATATTTCATTTGGTATTTGTCCCCTTTTGACACAATCTCTAGTAGTTTATATATAAGTTTATTTTCCTTTTGTTTATTTTTAACAAAATTAAGTACAAAACTGAATTAAAGTATTCTTTGTATAAGCATGCCAATTATCTTTTAATTGGTAATTAAAGCTAGAGAAATAAAACACTTTCTAAAGACTAGTTTTCGTTTCAAAAACTATTCCAATATTCTTGTTTAGTTATTTGAAATCTTACTAATCAGGCTGAAAAATAATTAAACATTTATTTTCAGGAGAATGATCTTATCAGTTTTATTATTCCAATGGAATATATTACATAATTTATTATCATTTCTAGTTTGAAGAGTTATTTAAATTGCGTAATATTTGTATTATTTATTTAGATGAAAAATAAATTAATTTGTTGAAATTCAAACCAGTTTATAATTCAAATCCCTATGTACGACAGTACTTAATTCCGTTTTAGGTAGTAGCGAAACTTTGAATGTCCTAGCATGAACGTAGTAAATATATGTAAACCTGTAGTATGTGTAGAAACTCCAAAAATCCGACTGACTCGGGAGGCTGCGCCATCGCAGCGGAGGGGTCACAAAAGGAGCTGCAGGGAGGGGCAGCATCGGCAGGATATTCGGGAAAAGGAACAGGAACAGGAGGAGCAGGAGGAGGAGGAGGAGGAAGAGGGGCAGGAGGAGAAGGAGGAGCAGCTGCAGCATCAGGCAACGACATGCGCAATTTGTAACACAAACCCAGTCTCTGCCAGCGCCCAAAAACTTTCTGCATTCTGCAGTAAAACTGCAAAATGGGGGGAGATGGGATGGATGGATCCCGAAACCCGTGAATGTGTATTCCCGGACCCGTATTTTCCGTATATTCCGGGGGAGGTCAAGAAACCGTGGCTGCTTTTTAAAGCCAGGGGAAATATGACTCTCTCATTTACTCTCTCTCCTTGTTTCTCTCCTCTGTCTGTTGCTTATTTACCCGAAAACGTTGACAAAAAAAATTACAAAAAAAAGAGTCAAGGAGAAAGGAGAAGGGAAAAATCATCTGGTTTTTGGTGGGCATGGTCAAGGCAGGGCGACTGTCTGGATCTGAACACAACCATATATAGTCTGGTTAGCCGTACATATATATGAATGTACCGTACATGGGTTGTGGCTGGCATTTGGAGCCTGGGAAGCTGACTTCTATATTCCTCGCATCTCTACTATTCCGTCTCCAGACATAAAGGAATCATAAAACTGTAAAACGTTATTATTCAATTTTATGCTGGGAAATAACCATAAAAGTTCGGGAATATTTTGGCGCACGATTGAGGCGTGACTATCCAAATTAAAAGCAATTAGGAATTGGAATCATCATACTGGTTGGGTATTTTTTCATTCTTTAATTAGAGTTTATGGGAGGGATTAAATGGACAAGCTTTTATTCTAAAATTAAGGTGTCAATCTTAACATGAGTTGAAAAAATCACTTGCTAGTAACCTTTTAAATGCATTATCCTATTTCTAAAAATATAGAGAAACTTGCAAACATATCTGAAGAAGAATGTATAACAACCTAATTATTCATTTTATTAACTTCAATGCTTCTTATAAAGAAAAGGTTGTGGATTAAGGTAATTTATAAAAATATCTTCGTTGTTTATTACATAAAAAAATAGTTTGAATTTATGGTTTTTATACATACATCGTTTGTATAAAATATTGCACTTAACCAAAAAACGGGATTTTTTTCACTTACCTTGCTGAAATAACCCACAATATGGCATCCATCCACATCGGCCAGCGTCATGATGTAGAAAAGAAAGGGCTCCACGTCGTAATAGAGCGTTTTGTGATCCAAGAAGAACTTGGCCAGCAGACAGAGATGTTGACAGTATTGCTTGTACCGCTTTCCGTCCACCTGCCACACCTGTAGTTTTCCCTTGCGGTAGATTTCATCGCCCGGCGGATGCCGCCAGACGCACTTTTCCGCGTGCCTCTTGATGCCCGTCTCCGATTTTTGATATCGCAGGCAGAACTCGCAGATGTACATTTTGGGCAGGCGGGCGGCGTCGTCGGGATACGGGGATTGGTACCACACCTTCATCTTGTACTTGCCCATGCTGATATATCTGTAGATATTGGAAGATATAAATAGATTACCTAGGCTTTTATTCTACTAAAAAAAACTCACTTAATTCCCTTTCCCACAGGCAAATCCTTGAGTTCATCCTCTATCCTTTCGGAGGCCTGAGCTTGCGCTTCTCGAAACAATTGAAGATCGTAATCGGGCACCAGGCCAGATAGATTGGGTTCACGATCCTCGTCCGTAACGTCTTTTTCAAGCTTAACCTGAGTAGAAAAATGTTACACAAATTATAAAGCTTTAAAATAGGTAACATGAAACAAGTTGAAATTAAAGTTTTACCTTCGAGTCCAGAAAATTATTATTAGCCGGCCTAAAGTTTGCCCTAGACTCGCGAATTTTGGCCAGAAATTCGCGCTGCTCGGGCGAGAGAGTTTTGGGATTGGTTTGCTGATTACCCGGCGCCGTCACAATGTTCACGGGCATTTTGAGGCGCTGCTCATCCCGCAGTTTACGCTCATTAGCCCGCTCTTTGCACTCGGAGGCGGACATATTGTGGTAAATGGGACAGGCCTCCGGCAGGAAGTGCCTGTCTAAGTGGCCACTCAGGTGACCGGATGAGTCGCATCCCTCGATGGGACACTTCTTTTCCGTTTGCGTTATAGGTGACACGGGTCGGGATTTAATGGAGCTTAGGACTCCACTGCTAATCCCAATGGATTCCCTCTTCACTTTGCTTTTGGTGGCGTTCAAATTCGAGGGTGCTGGCTTTTTGGCGGGACTTTTTGATATCATAATTTTGTCATCTTCTAGATCGCCATCGGATTCCGAATCGGTTTCCGGTTTTGGCTGCTGTTTTGTCCTTCGCATGCTAAGCGATCGTGTGAGTTTTCTCATGGGATTTGCCTTGTCCTTTCGCTCCTCTTCACTGTCCGAGTTTTGGATCTTCGGAGCTCCAGCTTTTTTACCTGTAAAAACGAAAATAATAACAATTAATTAGTCTGAATTAGTTCCGCAGACCTTGTTTACCTTTGACTCCTCCTTTGACGGGTTGCGAGCTGTAGGAATTACTGGAATCCGTGCCCTCCGAGTCGCTTCCCGAGCTGGAATCATCTCCTGAGTTGGATCCACTTTCGGAGCCCGAACTGCCATCGCTGCTGATCACAGGTCCTCCACCGTTTTTCTTGGCCGGCGGCAGTTTGCCCCTGATAGCTTGCTTTGGCCTCACCGTGCTGGCCATTTTTAGGGGAACCTTGCGACCGTTCTTCACAATCTTCATGGAGTCATCTGTGCTGTTCGAGGAGGAGGAGAGCGATGGCCGTTTGCCCTCGCCGTTCTCCAGAGATCGATTGTTGTTGTTTGCCGGTCGCTGTGGAGGATTGCTGGGTTTATTTCCCGGATTGCTGGATTTGTTGTTAGAGGCAGGGGGTTTTCTTCTCGCCGCCGAGGCAGCAGCCGCCGCAGTAACAGTGGAACTTCCCAAGGAGCGGGCGTTTTTTTTGGCTGGAGGCGCTGTATCGCCATTCTCGTCCTCGTCGTCATCGCTGGAGAGTCTACTTTTCGCCGGATTGGCTGCTTTTCTGCTGGTGGAAGCTGCTTGATTTCCCTTGGATTTATCATCCGCTGCCGAAGGAGCGGGCTTTCTTCTCACTGTATTCCCGGAACTCGTTTGTTGTTGCGTTTGCGCCTGGGATTTTGATGGGGAATTCGTGGAGGGCTTTTCTTCCGGCGTCGCACTGCTGGAATCCGTGTCCGAGCTGCTGCCTGTTTCGGAACAGCTTGTGGATCCGCTCGTGGAGGAGCTGCCCGATTCCGAGCTACTACTGCCGGATTCAAGGGCCATTTTTTCGTGCTCAGAATTAATTTTCGTACACAAAAATGTCTTGTTTTTTTTTATTGTTTTGATTAGAGTGGCCAGAGGTGAGTGGCGAGCGAATAACCACAGAAATCGCGTGAGCTATCGATAGTGATATCGCTAGACGTGCGATTTGGCATGTTCAGACTGGCATCACATCTGCATCTATGGTCTTGGCCAAATCCACCAAATTCAAACATTAATACGCTGCTGCTGATTCTTGTTTCCGTCATAGAAACCGTATTTATCTAGGGTTGATGACCTGATATGGTATTGATATCTGTTTTGAGACTCGAATTCAGATGGAATCCTTTAGACTTAACAGAAGAAAGCATTTCTCACAACGACAAAACAATATTGTCCAGCGAATAAAGAAAGTAATGAATATTGTCAGGAAGATATCTTATATCGTCAGTTCGCTGCAAAACATTTTAAGTGCTTGCCTTTTTTTGAACATTTGGTTCACAATTTTATATAAAGTCGTACTGTTCTACAACATGATAGCTCATTTAGATTTCTGTAACTTTTGGTTGTGGTTGGTCTTTACAAAAATGCTGATTGCTGTCTTTATCTTATGTTTGCCTGTTCAAGAAGCGATGAATAGGTTTAAAAAAATATTAGGGAGCTCTCTTTTGAAATTTTCTTTGCGGACGAGCTTAAAGAGTGGAACAAAACGGTGAGTGATTTTTTGATAATATAATTTTGAACATATCATTTTCATGACATTAAGTAGAAATGTTTCTGAACCATCTTTACCTAAACGAGTTTGAGGTCAAAGTCCTTGGAGTCTATAAACGTTCGAACAATATGTTCCTTTTAATTTTTTCAGAATTGAATAATATTTTTGTGTTTATTATCTAATTTGTAATTAATTTAAAGCAATAGCAGAATGTTAATGAAGAAGTTCATAACATTTGAAACTAATGATTAATAATAATGTTTAATTTTTACGTGTGGACTATCTGTATGTAATGTGTTTCTTGACAAAGATTTAGTTGAAGTTATTGCTTTTAAATAAATATAAAGTAACTCATTTAAAAGTGTTTTATTCTGCGTAAAAGGTTTAATTCAATAGAGAAGCCTAACTGAAGTCTAATTGAAATAGACAACGTCAATTTTTCATGTTAAGCAAGGATACAATCTTTTTGGCAGGTGACAGATGATGATTTTCCCCCTGAGTTGTGCGACCTAAAGGGACAACAGATCTTTTAAAGAGTTAAGTTTTCATTAACCAAATGCATTGGGAAAGAACTTTGCTAAGCCGAGTGTTTTGTTTTAATTGAAGTTTAACCTTAGCAGCCAACAAGTCAAGTCGAATTTTCCGGATGAGTGTGTTCAAAGCATTGCTCCCTTATTGTACCTTTGCCAAATGGTTAGGTTGGATACCATTTCGCTTCAAGGAAACGGAGGACAATACCATCGTCATGGAGGAGACCTGTGTCACTAGTACCCGCTGGAAGTGGTTAATGTTGATCTTCAGACTTGCGCTCCTCTGTACTAATCTTTATCTGCACACTAATTGGTTGATGAAAAAGGATAGAATAGCCAAAATGCTACACTGTGCATTGATTGTACTTATGGTTCTTTGCTACCTAACAATGATTTACATCCAGATTTTTCGTGGCAAGGACTTGATAATGCTGGTCAATCGCTATCTTCGAATATTAAGACGAGTGAGATCCCTGTCTATCAGAAAGCGAAAAGGATTCGCAGAAGGACGAGAGCTGCTGCTGATTCTTGTTCTCTTTGGATGTCAGGTCATGGAAATCGTATTTCCCCTTGCATTATCGACTTGGTCCCCTAACACTATCATTCATAATCTTGTGACCTGGGCCAGCTTTACTTATATCAATATGGCCTGCAATCTGATCATTCGTATCTGCTTTCTGTTTTACCTTAGCTTGGGCGTTGTTTATTTAGAGCTCAACAATATTATTTGTTTTGAAACGCGAATTCATGTAGAAGCCCTCACACTAAACAAAATAATACTAGTACATTCCCCAAATCGAAAGAAAAACATTACCCGCCGATTGAGGAAAATAATGAATATTGTCAGGGAGATATCTTATATTGTCAGTTCTCTGCAAAACATGTTTAACTTTCACCTTTTTTTGAGCTTGTGGTACACACTTTATTATATAGTCGTAATGTCCTACAAAATGGTAATAGATTTGAATTTTTCTTACAAAAGTTTGTGGATGATTTTTATAAAAAGTTTACTCGATGTCCTTATCTTATGTTTGGCTGTTCAAGGTTCAGTCAATCAATTCACAAATATTCGGGAATTAAGTCTTGAAATGTTCTTTGTGGACGAGCTTAAAAATTGGGAAAAATCGGTGAGTGGATTTCTTTGTTTTTAAGATATTGGTAATGTCTTTATTTTGATTTTAGGTGGAAGTGTTTCTATCCCACTTAAGACTGAACGAGTTTGAGGTCCGAATCATGGGAAGCTTTAACATTTCCAATAAACTGTTCCTTTTCATTTTTTCTGCCATAAGTAGCTTTATTTTGTTTATTATTCAGTGTGTAATACAATTTAGGCAATAGTAGTAATTATTTTTGAAGTTTGAAACGTCTTATACTAATGATTGAATATATTTGTAAAATTTTGGATAAAAATGTATCTGAATGTCGTGTTGTCCTTATGTAATCAACATCTTTAATAAAATTATATTTATATATTTCGAAATCATTTAAATCGAAACTAAAGACCACACGGATTTGCCTTCTTTTGATTGAAAAATACGAAAGATAACTCTTTGGTCCTGGAGGAATGCTGGTTGAATAGTCCTTGGTGGAAGCGGCTCTCGGTTGTCCTGCGTCTTGTTTCCATAAATCTCCAACTGCTCGAATTAATAAAAGTAAAAAAATTCCGAACTCCGCGCTTGTCAAACCTTGCGTTAACGATTCCGAGCTACTTTTTGCTGATGCACATTCAGATTTTTCCTAGACAGGATGTGATTAAGTTGGGCAACCAGTACCTTTAAGTCATTCGTCGAGTTGGATCTTTGACCAAAAAGGAGTACATTCAGATTTTAGGGGGTCAAGAATTATTTCTTATTTTGTACTTGTTGGGCTGTCAAATCCATACATTTATATTTCCTGCTTTTCCTTATGAACTCGGTTCCATTATTTTATTTTTTAGACTTTACAAATACATAGTATAATTCTATGGGGATGTTTGTTGTGGTACCTTAGTACGCCGAAATGCGAATATTTTTGGGCAGAGAGTTCAGATTAAACCTGTGTAACAAAATCAATGGGCGAGTTATTCCCCTTTGTAAGGTTAAACATCAATCTGCAAATCAGTTCAGGAACATTTAAGAAATCATTAGAGGCTTTTCTTTGCCAGGGACCAGAAAGATTGCAACGAAACGGTAAGATTGAATATACATATGTGTAACACATAATGTGTTATATATACAGCTAATATCCTTATTATTTAGGAGGAAATACTCGTCACACATCTAAACCTAAATGTTTTTTGGGTTCGACCCTTGGGACTTTTTAATCATTCTAACGAGGTTTGTCTTGTAATTGTAGTAACAATAGTTGACTTCTACATCTATTTCGTTCAAGTTGTTATTAGGCGACAAAATACAATGCAACTCTAGGTGATTTTGTCTAAAATTACTAATTTTTCTTATTAACCATAGATATTTTCAATAGTTCAGTTTTCATTAACCAAAAGCATTGGTAAAGAACTTTACGTTAAATATATAAATAATGGAAAAAAATTATAACTTCGTTGTTTTTAATCCCACGAGCATGATTTTGAAAATATAGAGTTTTTCAATAACCCTTGAACCGAGAAAAAAAATTCATCAAAATCCGACAACGTTATCATATACAGTGGGGAGCAAAATTGAGTACATGTTCAGAATATGCATGTTCAACCGCTCATAAAACGTAAACCAATGAACCGAATGAAACAAACTTTTTTTTTCTCGATTACTTATTCAATTTGTAAGAAATAGACTTAAAGGGGGGTTAGGTTTTAAAAAAATTTTTTTTACATTTTTTTATTTGTATTTTTTTCTGAATGACCAATGTGTCGAGAACATTGTGTAAAAATTTTGAGTCAATTAAAGTCAAACTAACAGAGTTACAGCGTTTTAAACAACCATATTTGGACGTATTTTCACGTATATAAATACTTTGAATCGATTTTGCCGAAGACGTTTGAAAGTCGGTGAACATCAGAACTCAAAATCTACTGAACCGATCCTTTTCAAATTTTTAACACAAATTCTCAATATAAATACGTAGGTCATCAGGAAGAGTTTTTTTTAATTTTTAATTTTTTTCTATTTTTAAAAAATAAATTAACAGCGATTTTTAAGCTAAAATCGCACTTTTCACTTTCAAGTGCTCCCAAAAAGAGACAAAAAATAAATTTAAAAAAAACTCTTCCTGATTACCTCGGGAAATTCATTATCTTTACAACGCATATCACATTTTATTTTTAAGATGATCCGTTAACGCCCTATGATGTTCACCGCAAAATAACTTTTTCTTTGGGCGCTTCGGAAGATTAACCGCCACAGGCTTATTTCTTAATATTTTTTAATAATTTTTTTTCTAATACTCTTCAAAAGTTAAACAATAACATGTAATTAAGCTCAATAAAATAAACTTACTCATTTCGCCGCAAAAAAATCAAACATGGCCCTTTTTTTGGCCTTTAAAACCTTACCCTCCCCTTAAATACTACAATAATACACGAAAAAAAATGTAAGAGATAGAAAAAAAAAACAAAAACAGAAGGCATGTACTCAGTTTTGCACCTTTCGTTATTCGCACTTGTTTTTGCTCTCCCCGTTTTCTTATCACCAAAATACTTGCAGATTTATTGTTTTATGTCTTTTTCATGCATTCTTCGTTGTCATAATTCAGAAAGTCGCACATTTCTTATAGTTCAAAGTAAATTTTAATGAATTAAGAAATTAGTCCCCAACTTTTATTTGTAAAATGAAGAAGCTATCAGCAGATACCGAAAATAGTATTGTTTTCATGACTAAAAGTGGCTGTTCGACACGCACGATTGCTGAAAAGCT